ATCACACACAGCGTCATCACACACAGCGTCATCACACACAGCGTCATCACACACAGCGTCATCACACACAACGTCATCACACACAACATCATCACACACAACGTCATCACACACAACGTCATCACACACAACGTCATCACATACATCGTCATCACACACAACGTCATCACACACATCGTCATCACACAGAACGTCATCACACACAACGTCATCACACACAACGCCATCACACACAACGTCATCACACACAGCGTCATCACACACAACGTCATTACACACAGCGTCATCATACAGCTTATTTTCACCATCTACAACTTTCCTTTCTCGGCCACTCTCCTTGTGACTCGCGTCTGCTTAGTCGTGACATTTGCGTTGGTTGATCCAATCAATGATGGCCTTTAAACGAGCAGTTAGATGGTGCAATCAATCTGCTGGTGCAATAAATCATGTCGGCTTCCAATCAAATGTCGGTTTGCGATACATGAAGGCGTGAAAGCGACCGTTAGCATTAGTTACTTTAAAATCATTTTTCCATCTCCATACTAAATTTTATCGATGAATGTTCCAGGGTGACACTGTACTTATGTATTCTCTGCATTTTTGAACGGATTATGCAGCTTGTCTCAAAAAAGCTTGAAATGAGAATATGAGGAATTGGTTTAAAGTTTTTTTTTGTTTTGAATTCATTCGGTCCCTACACGATAATCTTGCAGGTTTGCTACTTATTTCTTACATTTGTATGTACATGTCTTACCCCTTTCCCGGACCAACATAAAAATTCCATGAAATTGCAATATTTGATGATTGTACTTGAAAGTATGACAATTCTAAGATATATTTACTGATATGCATTTTCCAAAAATTTTCGTATATAAGTAGTAAATCACAATTAATGAAGTTATCATATATGGGGCCTTGCCGGCTTAAGGTAAAAATTTGCTGATTTTGACATTGAAAGTTTACTATTTAGATGGTAAAAACAACTTGATTGCACATCTATGCTTGTATTATATCATATACAGAGGAAGCAATCAAGATGAACAAAATTAAAGGAATATTTAGTATTTTAGATTTTTCCAGAAAATCCATTTAATGAGACATCCATGCCGTATGTAAAGAATCACATTCATATGCAACTTATACCCTAAAATTTGTGAAAAAATTGTCAGTAAGAATTAATATTCTGAATGACATGTAATTGTCTGGGTCAGTGCAGAGACCATTTTGCTTGCAACCGCGTTGGCTCTATGTTCCGTAGCGAAGGAAATGCCAGGAGCTTGGACTGCAGTCAAAGCCTGGGAAAGCATCATGTGGTATATATTTTCACATATTTACCAAGCGCTGTAGAAATTTCCCTCTAGCGGGCATATGTCAAAACATAGTCACTTCCATCTCTAAGCATTGGTGTGATCATATATGATCATATATGATCACACTATTTTTTGCCATCTTATTTCACCATCTTGCATTTGCTCCAAGTAAATGGCATCACAATCAGTCGATAAAGCAAGTTTTTAACTATGATACTCGCAACTATCATGGACGTACCTACAGTTCTTCATGGGCTAGAGCTGCTAAAGCGAATACGATGAGGGCCCGAAATGCCGTTTTGCCATTTCACCATAGTACTTAGTTTTTAAGTCAGCTCACATAGACGTAAGAGCGCGCCAGAGCACTACGTCATACCTACATGACGTAACTCATACACGATCTGTGATTGGTTGAAGCTTGTTGGCGGGCTGCCAAAAGCAAAGTGGGTGATGTGGGGGTCCTTTTTTACTCCCATTTTAATTACCACATATGGTAACTTACCCGCGAAAGGGTTTTAAGTAAATACTACTTCATTACTACCTGACAGTTTATTTTACACGCAGACTGGTGAAGGCAGTCAAGATCATAACTTTCTTTCCATTCATTTTCAGAAATTTCATTCATAAATTTCTTTCGTTATAAAGTTGGGTGTTGCAGGCAGCTGGGTGAGGTGGGTGATGGTGGAGGAGGGCTGCTGCAGCAGCTGGAGGAGAAGCTGCGGCAGGCGCAGCAACTGCTGCACGACTCAGACGCCGCGCACGCGCACGATCAAGGTACGCAAGCCTGCTAATACCGCCCGTTATTAGACCGGTATTTCTTGGCCGGTATTGTACCGGTATTTCTTGGCCGGTATTGTACCGGTAATTCTTGGCCGGTATTGTAACGGTATTTCTTGGCCGGTATTGTACCGGTATTTCTTGGCTGGTATTGTAACGGTAATTCTTGGCCGGTATTGTAACGGTATTTCTTGGCCGGTATTGTACCGGTATTTCTTGGCTGGTATTGTACCTGTATTTCTTGGCCGGTATTGTACCGGTATTTTCCGGCCGGAAGTGTACCGGTACTTTTCGGCTGGTATTCTCAGCGGTATATTTATCCCGGCAGGTATTGCTAATACCGGCCGGTATTGTGCCGGTATTTTCAAGCTGGTATCCTCACCGGTATGTTTATTCTAATAGGTATTGCACCGGTATTTTCACCGGTATGTTTATTCTGGCCGGTATTGCATCGGCAATTTTTTACATCCAGCATTGCATTGTACCGATATTTTTATATCAGTGAAAATGTCAGGCGTTTAAATTCCTGTAAGGAATTATTTGCATCTTGTGTTCTTGGTGATTATATATAATGAATATTTTAATAATGGCGTGCATGTCACATACATATTTATAGTAACAGATAGTGTATAATATTTGAGCAATTTAATACGAAGCTGAAATTCCTGAATTTCTGGAGTGGAAAAAATAATCAAATCACATTATTTGATTGTAATTATATAATAATTATACACACGTCAAGCACATCAGAAATATCATCGGGAACGATGCTTATCCTGTTGAAAAGAAGTATGTTATGTTTAAGTGTTTCGCGTGATTAGATTTATTTATTATTTAAATGAAGATCGCATACCAATGCAACACTTGATTATGCAACACCAATGCAACAACTTATTATCAGGATCTAACCATTATGAAAAGGCAGGCATGTAATGAAACGTTAGCATGAATTACAAGTTTACATATTGCCACTGCAATCATTGCGTGTAATTATTGTTCTGAAGGCAGGACCTGTTATGAAAATGGTAAATATGACTGCATTGTTGCCAGTAGAATCCTGTAATATTTTTGAAGTCACAGTATAGTTGATGGATATATATTTTTGACGCTTGATGTCAATGCTTTTTTTAAATAACATATGAAAGACAGAACTTTACTCGCCTTGCGATGTTCCTTTGTCACGCCGAGCCTGGAGTTTACTTATATTACCGAGTAAAAGCATGGCATATGGTATCTTTGATGTTACTCAATATTATTGACATTTTTGATAATATTGGTTGTTAAAAGAACGCTAGAAAAGATACAACATTACCGCGTCGCGTGGCAGGCGTTTACAGCGAGCCTAAAGTTGACTGAATAGTTCCTATTAAAAGCATGGTATATCTTTGATGTTACTTAATGCTATTGGCATTTTTGATGTTACTGTTTGTTTAAACAAGGCTATAAAAGATACAACATTCTCGTGTCTCGTAGCAGGCGATGTTCCGTCGTTTACACCGAGCCTGGAGTTCGAGGTGACGAGACGTCGTGTGGGGCGTGGGGTGCTGGATATGTGGTGGTACTTGGAGGACCAGCTCAGGGACCTCAGGGGCAGTCTCGACGCCTTCCCCAACCACGTCAACCAAATCACAACCATCATCGAGAACGGTGCTGAGCATGCCAGGTGGGGCAATCGCTACATGTCATTTATAGTGCATCATCTTGCAGCCATCATTCCCACCATCGAGCAATATCCAGAGGTGGGCAGTCGCGCGCTACATGTAGCGGTCGCTACATTTTCAGTAGCGGTAGCGGTAGCGGCACTACATTTAAGGCAATGTAGCGGGAGCGGTATCGCCCGCTACATATTTAAGTAGCGATACGAGGTTTTGCCGCTACAGCGATACCGCTACATTTATAGATAAAGCCTTCAGATTTTACTTAATAGTATTAAATATTATTTAAAAACCAGCATGATACATACATAATATAAATTACAGAATAAAACTGTACGAAAGATTTCGGTGTAATGTTGTCAACCTCAGCCTGTTACTAGTGTCAACATGTTAGTTGTTACTTGTTAAGTTGTTACCAGTTCCCACTTACAGGTATTTTTTCATATTTCAGTTTGCTTACAGTTATTTTTACACAGTTATTTTTATGTTTCTCCTTCCCAACATGGATGTCTACTTTAATCTACCAATCACAAAAATAATCCACATATCTTGTTAATCTTGGTACTTGTTTGGGACATAGCAGTCCCAAGCCACGATGGATCGCCGCCTCTGATTATCGTTCATCCGCCCTCATTTGGTCTACCTGATGCACGATGCTGTTGCTTGCTACTCGCCGCTGGTAGTGTTGCAGGGGAGGTCGATCTGGGATTGTGCTCAGGAAAACGTCCAGTTGTCTCTTTAAGGTCTCCAGGGTGAACTCTCCCTCTCATAGATCCTTTGGTAGGACGTTGAACAGCCTTGGCCCTGCCACGGAAAGTGATCCATCCCGCAGGGATTGAAATCTGACTGCGGATCTGTTACGTAATGGGGGGATCTTGCACAGTCTCCCCCTTCTCTCGTTGTGATATGTCTCAATCCTGAAGGTCTCGCTCTCGAAGTTTGGCACCATTCCGGTTATCATTTTCTATGTGTACAGAATGACATACCTCTCCCGTCTCCTCTGCAGTGAGTACAGACCCAGGCGCCTCAACCTCTCCCAGTAGTTCAACTGTTCCATCCCTCTGATCCTGGAAGTGAAGGTTCGCTGAACACCTTCCAGTTGCCGCACTGCGCCGAGTGTGAACGGGGTCCAGACCTAGCAGCAGTATTCGAGAATTGGTATTAAAAGAGCTCTAAAGAGTGTGATCATTGGTTCCGCTTCTCTTATTCTGAACGTCCGCCAGATCCACCCCCATCTGTCGCCTACCTCCTGCGGTTATTGCCGTTACGTGCCTCACCCTAGCCTCGCTCGATCTCGAGCCTCATACAACGACAGCTTGTAGTCTTTCTGTTAGGAAGCTGTGGATCCATGCCAGCAATTCACCTCCGACTCCCAGCAGTCTTAATTTTCTGAAGAGCACTCCATGGTCAACTTTGTCAAACGCTTTCGCGAAGTCCAAGTACATCACGTCCACCCCGGCCCCCTCCTCCGGCATGGCCAGGATTTGGTGGTGATGCTCAAGTAGCTGAGACAAACAGGAACGATTTCGTCTAAAACAGTGTTGCCTTCTGTTGAAAAGGTCAGCGTCTTCCATGTACTGCACCAACCTTCTGGCAACAACCTTCTCAAATACTTTGATTATGTGTGATGTTAATGTAACCGGCCTGCAATTTTGGGGTTTGTCTCTTGCACCTCCTTTTAGATAGGGGTAATTAGCTATAATTTTAGGCCACTTCGAACATTTCCTTCTCTCAATGATGTTTTCCAGAGCAAAGTCAGAGGGACCTTTAGTGCACCGACACATTTTTTCAGTAATACTGCAGGGACCCCATCTGGCTCGGAAGCCCAGTACGTAGATAATTCTTGGATACTCCTCTCTAGATCCGGTGTTTCAAACTCAATGTTCATCAGCTCCCGCTCCCCTGGAAGTTCTAGAATGACTCCAATTTCGTTCTCATGTCTTGCGTATCGGGGTTCGCTGAATACTTTTTTCAAATTGAGCTCCCAGAGGTTCGCACATGCCCTGGTCGTCTCCAACAAGGACATCGTTATTTTTCAGAGGCCCCACTGAGGCTCTGATTTTGGCCTTTGACCGGGAATATTTGTAGAAATATTTGGGATTCTCTCGAATGGCAGACACCGCTTGCGCCTCTGCAATTTGTTGCTCGGCCTCGTGTGAGTCCTGCAACTGTCGTTCAGTTTCAGTTCAGGTTTTAACCTTTAGATGTTCCAGCCTCCGCCTCTCTATATTCCTGGAGGCGGCCGTTACCTGGTTGTTAAAGCTCGCTCGTTTTCTCATGAGGATCCGTCTGTCTCTCGGAATTATGTGGCGTTTGGGAGTTGTTTTTCCCGGCGTGTGACGGCACGCATATCTGCAGTAATACTTGGCACAGTTTGTTGTACGTACATGTTTCGGCGTTTATTTCCAGGAATTCAGATGTCCAGTCAATTTCAAGGAGTTCATTCCCAATGGCCTCCCATTCTGTTCCTCGATGATGAAAATTTAGCCCAGCTAGCCCCTCTCGAGGTATAGGTCTTGGCTGGGTTCCCCTCGCAATTGTTATCTTGACCACCACTAGTCGATGGTCAGACAGTGTGGTCTCCTCAACACGAATATCAGCAACCAGTTCTTCATTGCTGGTGAAGAATAGATCCAGGATATTATTTTCTCTTGTTGGCACCAGAACCTGTTGGCTTAGCAAGTGCTCCCTCGCGAATCGAAGTAGTTGTGTAGCCTGGTTCCTTGTTTGATTTCTGCGCCGTTCTACACAGTCCAAGTTTGGCCATCGTATATGTGGTAGGTTAAAATCTCCCGCAACCACAATATTTGGGGAAAGTTCACCTAAGTTGGCCACCTCTGTTTCTATTCTATCGAGAGTTTCATTGAATTTTTCAGGTGGGCAGTCAGGCGGTCGGTATATACATACAAATAAAAGACTAATTTTTTATATGTATATGTGGATAATTTTTGAGATTGGTAGATTAAAGTTGACATCCATGTAGGGAAGGTAAAACATAAAAATAACTGTAACTTTTATTTACTGTTTCTCACCCGTACTAGTTCGGTTAGGTTAATTGCAATAAAGTTGCATTGATATGTTTTGAAAATGTTTTATTATCATTAAATGTTTATGAGTAAATCCCAATAGCAGAACAATAAATATTTAGAGATTTCCAATAATTTTGGCCATTGTAGCGCGCTACATTTTACTGTAGCGGTAGCGGTAGCGCCCATTACAATCTAGTGGGTGTAGCGGTAGCGCCCGCTACATTTAGAGCATGTAGCGGTAGCGGTAGCGCCGCTACATTTTCAAGTAGCGCTGCCCAGCTCTGGCAATATCTTCTTTAGCATCGTCTTTGTTCTAGCCCACTTGATAGTTCCCTTTCCCTATTAAGTGAATTTGTGCCACCCAGCCATTTTCGTTGAAGTTGCTCTCTAAAAATTATAAGTTTTTGATAAATCTGTTTATAAATACATTTTGTATATACAGCTTTTAATTTTGATACTAAGTATTATCTAAGCACTTGTATCTCAATGTGTAATACCTAAACAACAAACGAATAGACGCACTAGTGCGCACTGAATTTTCTGTTCAACCTACTTTTTAATCCCGTAGGGTCCAAAAACATGTTTTTTAAAATAAAATTTCCCTGCCCTGGTGGGTGGTGGGAGCAGCCCCCGGCAGGACAAAACTGCAACGAGCTCGTACGAGATTGATGAATATCGCTACTTAATGGATATCGGTACTTAATGGATATCGCTAACTGAAAAACGGAGGTCATGTTGCCGTGCTCTGTGGTATATGTTCATGTTCACCAAGTTATGTGTGGTCATTGTTTCCTCTTTATCGGTGTTCCTTGTTGACCCGTTGCAGTGATATGTATGAACCGTATTAGGATGGTTATTATTAATCTGTTATTATTAATTAATTATTATTGTTATATTATTAATTTATTATAATGACCGTATTAAGTAATTTATGGACTGTATCTAATCGTTACATTAACGTATTGCCCGTAGTTGGGTGTTGGTTGCCCCTTATAAGTGTTATTAATCTCCCCGGTATTTTTACGTACCGTCCGAATTGGGGTAATTGCCTAGTTATAAGTGTTGATAGCTACACGTTACTTCAACATGTCACCAGCGTTATAGGGTGGTCACCCCGATACTATAACGTGTCACCAGCATTAGGGTGGTCACCCCGACACTTCAACATGTCACCAGCATTAGGGTAGTCACCACGACACTTCAACATGTCACCAGCATTAGGGTAGTCACCCCGATACTTCAACATGTCACCCCGATACTTCAACATGTCACCCCGACACTTCAACATGTCACCCCTATCAGGGTAACGCGCCACGACCTGGCCCACCTGAGTGGGGCGGACGGGCTGAGCGTGTGGCGGGAGCGCGAGGCTGCGGACCTGAGCGCTCTGGTGCAGGCGCGGCTACACGCACTCCAGCACCCCAGCGACTGCAGCACTGCGAGGAAACTGACCTGCATGCTTAATAGGGTCTGGTCCTTGATGATATTAGGAGCCTTAATAAGGTCTGGTCCTTGATGATACTTGCAGCCTTAATGAGGTCTGGTCCTTGATGATACCTGCAGCCTTAATAAGGTCTGGTCCTTGATGATGCCTGCTGCCTTAATAAGGTCTGGTCCTTGATGATGCCTGCAGCCTTAATAAGGTCTGGTCCTTGATGATACTAGTAGCCTTAACAAGGTCTGGTCCTTAATGATGTGTTGTTTTTAATGAGCTACAAAGGCTGGTCCTTGATGGTGTGTTGTTTTTAATGAGGTACTAAGTCTGGTCCTTGATGGTGTGTTGTTTTTAATGATGTACTAAGTCTGGTCCTTTATAGTGTTATTTATTTTATTTTTTGAACACTTCTATTAAACTTAACTACTTGATTGTTTGTCTGCTACAAATCTTATAATCGATTTTATCTCATTTCTACCTGTCCAATCGATTTGAAATTTTGCACACTTGCGTAAAGTCGGAGACAAATCACGAGTCATATGACAGAATCACCAAACAAGTAAGTGGTCAATCAGTGTTAATCAATTAATTCTGTTTTGTATGAAAATAGAATTTTGTATGAAATCTTTCACTTCACAATCAGTTTAGAAAAATTTTATCAGATGGTGGCCTTATTACAGCTGTGTGTTGATATTCAATAATCTATGAATTGTGCTTTTTAAATAATCAAAAGAAGGAAATCTGCTAATTATGCCGGGCTCTGGGCCTATACTTTCAAAAAAGTTAAGAGATCGCAAGTTCATCAGCCAATAATTGACGGCCTTTCAAGCAAAATCCACCTATCATAGACAAGAAAATAGAGCGTAAGTACTTACGTTCACTTAGCCAGTTTTGAAAGTATGGCCCACTGATCCGTATTCTATAGCTAATGCCCGGCAGTTGAGAGACCGCGAGTCAATATATGGTCTAGTGAACCGATGGCTGAATGTCATTAGGGTGGGTAAACGTGATACGTCGCTAGCGCTTACCTCAGGGCACCGGATTTTAACATCGGAGACACCGGTCTCTTGAGAAGTGTCGTCTTTGAAAAGTACTTTTTAAACGCATATTATTTTGCTCCTCTGTATACCAGATACTGTAGGACGTGACATAACCAGAGTTCGGCGCTTCAATTTTAGAACTAAACCCTTGGATAATCAATTTTATTTGCGCCAGAGAAAGTACAAGAAATTATTTACCTTTTTGGAATCCACGTCTCGCCATAATGTTGGGTGAAACCTTCGCCTCAAGCGCGACAATCGGAAACCTTCGCCGTGAAGAAAATATTTTCCCAGCTGCTCGACAAGGTTCATAGACGCCGCCCGCATCAAAATTCAATAATAATAATTCAGCCTATCCTACAAAATAGATTGATGAAAAATTGGCCTTCATTAGGTCATTAATCGCGAAGTAATTCGAAGCAAAAGACGAAACCCGTGCAAATATCGTCGGAACATCCAGCGATCATCACCTGTAGAACGAGAGTATGCTGCCCTATGAAGAGTAATCGTAAAGCTTGTCTTAATAAACCTGCATTGATGAGATGAATCAAACAAGCGTTGGCTTCAAAGATCTATAATAGATTGAGGATTTTCTTTAAACTGAAAATATGGATGTTGTCGAGAATAAAATGAAGTTGTTAAAATTGTTATACGAAACATGTCAAGGTTTACAAGAGACTTTACCGGAGAATATGATGGAGCCGCAAAAGACATCCTCAGATAATCTAAATACCTGCATCTAAAGTAAATTCTCGGAGAACGACAATAACTATGCGACGATTCAAAGTAGTGTTCATAACAATCAAAAGAAGTTTGACATCCGCGGAGCGCTCGAGAAGTTACCGTCGCCGAATTCTTTGCCACAAAGTCATCATGATCAAAAGTCTGGCTCCTATGAACTCCAACTGTCATCAGTTCAGCCAATAAAACCTTACGCGATGATGGCAGCAACGAAACGAGGCGCCAAGAAAAAACACAGAAGAAATGACCACGCACTCTTCATCAGAAACAAGGCACCTCGTTAGAGGCGTCATGTCCAGAGATCACGAATACCCGAAGTTTAAACGGCTACTCTGCAAAATACACCTCTTGCTTACACCATCGATGACCGTTAGACTTAAGCGAGGCTCCCTACTTCTAGAGTCGATGCCGTTCAAAAGAATGTACAGGAAGGTTAAAACGACCAGATATCTGCCGTGAGAGACCATGAATAATCGTTGACTTCCGTCTTGTCTGATTCTTCAGTTGGGACATATCAAAGTTAACCCGATTTCAATAGAAGGAGCTAAGACCAAACATTGCATGAAAATCAGTATGGCCAATAAATACGCTCAAAAAACGCATTTAGTGAAGCCGATGGGCAACACAATCCTGGGTTGAACGTTCCAGAAGAACAAACGCGGACAAGTGGTACCAGGTCTCAAAATTATGAAGTCATCGGCCCTCGTTCCTAGCTGGATAACTTTTCATATCAGAGATCAGCGCCCGTTTCTTTCAGCTCTCCCCAGGAAAACAAAAATCAACTTTAGTCTGGCAATAACCATGCCCGTCGACACGAGACTTAAATTCAAGGTACGATGGTGGAACGCCCCAGTTAGACAAGAATTTTCGGTTCTAAATCTCAAAATCAAGACTTCAATGCACAACCAGAATTTTTGTCTGACAACTCTTAAAAATCAAGAAATCGTTTTACAAGTGGAACCCAGATGCGCAAAAATCAAAGTGAGCCTGACCAAAGCTTCACCATCCCACATAAAACATAGATCGCCGGACGCTCGGGTGTCGATGGGAATTCTATTCATACTCAGAATGTTCAAACTTCCCAAGATCCGAGGAATACGGCAGTTGCCGACAACAAAGAATTCGCGTTTGATCCAAAAATGAAAACCGAAAGTTTAGAAGACCTCTTCAATAATCCGTCTTAGCCACCACTGCCATCACATTCAACTTCGACTTTCTAAGGTGTTGTCCCAGAATATGAATAAAGTTCTAGTACGAGAAGTGATCAATTTAATAGGCATTACAGTAATCCGTCCTATGGTTCACGAAACTCCAAACCTTCGCGAACGTCTTAGTCAACCTCCCTGGCACCGATTATTTATTAATAAACTCCCAGCTAAACTGAAATAACGGGAACGAGTCAACCGGGAAGCTAATGGACAACTGCCCCAGCTGTTTCATAAGACAAGGCTCTGCAGACTGGAAATCAATATTTACATAATGAAGATCATTATGGCAGTGACTCTTAACAACGAGCGACGAAAACTATTTCGTAGAGTACTTTCCCTCCGCATGAACCTAATACCTAATAGTCAAACTACCCTACCTAATAGTCAAACTAGTAGCGTAGAAGCCCGGACACATCGATTGAAAATTAACGAAGCAAAGATGATGGAACGAGCCACGCGGTGGAAGCTACAGACGAAAAAGGAAATGTGTCAGGTCGATCCCTGACGCGTCAGCGTGTGTCAAGTCACCATATGTCAACTGGCCCTATGTCGAGTCACTCAGGTCATCCTGCAGCACATCCGTAGAATAGCAGCGAGTCTGGTCTCTAGCGAAATAAGATAAATACGTCTAAAAGGGATTTGACTTACCAATCTACCAATTAGCAAAGTTGTTCCTCATATGTCTCAGATAGTAAGCGTAACTATGACGGGGACGTACAACCTATGCCGACTTCAACTTCCATCGCTGTAAGAGATCTTTCAGGACAGCAACAAATTAATGTTGTGATTAATCCACTAGGTCATTCCGGGTAGAATCAAGATATGATCGGAGAGTCCAGAAACGGCTTATCTGGAAACCAAGGACAAATGATAATGATTAGATCTAGTCCAGACACACAGGAAGTCAAGCGCTCTCAGTCAACATCTGTCAATTTCAAGTCGGACGTGTAACTTCCGCGGATTCCTCTACAAGCTTCGAGTGATTCTGACGTAAAGCAAATCTCCCGGATCAGTTCGGTAAATCAACAACCAAGTTCATCGTAATCTCGAAGAGGGTCGGCAGGATTTTCGTCAGAAAGTAACTGTATGCCAAGATGTGGATTTCCCTGCCTTCGTTCGTGTTGCTGGGCGGCAGGACAAGGTTCCCCTACTCACTGTGATGGAGCTTGCGGACGCGCGATGTACAATCCTGTCGGAGGTTACGGAATTCCACTGTAACAATGCCATCAAAACTAGCTATCCAATGGCGGCTGCTGTTCTGGTCAAGTGCCAGTTGTTGCTCATCAACCTGTTATGCAGTAGACTCAGCGATTCGAATGTTGTACATACCCCAAAAAATAAACAATGCAAGCCTATAAGATAGTTTAAGGGGCTTGGAGAGCGTGCGTCCCAATTGATCCTGGCTAAATAATGCAGACACAGAACTTGCCGCCTTAAATATTGGATAGCTCAGTGGCCGCCATCAGAAGAGGCTTCCGGGCCAGACTTCGCCATGAGGGCCACAATGCGCGGATACTTGCCGATTACCACGAAGCTTTAGGCGCTCTGCATCCCTGTCTGGTGCAGCTCTACCCCAACATCGAGTGATCGAGTCGCACTCATGACAGTTTTGAGTGGTGAACAATCATTGAAAATGTAATATTTATGACCGCCAAGCAATAGGTATGTTGCATCGAGTGATCGAGTCGCACTCATGACAGTTTTGAGTGGTGAACAATCATTGAAAATTTAATATTTATGACCGCCAAGCAATAGGTATGTTGCATCGAGTGATCGAGTCGGACTCGTGGAAGTTTCGAGTGGTGAACAATCGTTGAAAATTTAATATTTGTGACCGTCAAGCAATATGTATGTTGAATATGTACGACCGTCATCGAGGATTTTCTTGGATTACATTTCGGCGCTGAATATTTTATTAGAGGCATCTAGTAGAAGAAAGTTGCAATGGAAATGAAAACTATTGTATCCATCTTATAATTTCATAAATGCATTATTTTTATTATCATTTTAATGTGGAATAGATTGTATGGAACGAATTGTTTGTTGTGTTTTCCTTAAAAATAACTAAGAAATTGTAGAACATTCGTTGGAAAAGTCTTGCGCAATCATCAAAGCCATAAATAAGAAGCAGCTAGATTGTTTTATAAAAGCTTACAATGAATTATTGTGGTGAGCGATTGGTTTGCTTACATAATGAGATCTATAATTTGATCGCGTTTCTAACCCACTGAGATTGTCGGAAACACTGTCGTTCGCTTGTGCTATTTTAATAAATAGCTTACACAGTTCTCGTAAAGTACCATATTTTTATTTCGTAAAGTAAAGTTTTATCTCGTAAAATACCATATTTTTTGTTAAAGTTCGTGTTCGGCTGATAGATGTAGGTACCTCCCACGCAATGAATGTTTCATAATGGCCACTCCAACTAGCTTGCATGTCTTGCAATGCTCACCCTGTCTCATATTACGAACCGTGTCGCTCAATACGCACCATATCTGACCCATATCCCACATTAAGTGAGATACCCATATCTCTTAATACTTGAGATACCCATGTCTCACAATACGTGAGATACCCAAATTACATGAGATACCCATGTCTCACAATACTTGAGATACCCATGTCTCACAATACTTGAGATACCCATGTCTCACAATACTTGAGATACCCATGTCTCACAATACTTGAGATACCCATATCTCACAATACGTGAGATACCCATGTCTCACAATACGCGAGATGCCCATATCTAATAATACTTGAGATACCCATATCCCACAATACGCGAGATACCCATACCTAATAATAATTGAGATACCCATATCTCACAATACGCGAGATGCCCATACCTAATAATACTTGAGATACCCATATCTCACAATACGTGAGATACCCATGTCTCGCAATACGTGAGATACCCATGTCTCACAATACGTGAGATACCAATATTTCACAATACGTGAGATACCCATATCTCACAATACGTGAGATACCCATGTCTCACAATACGTGAGATACCCATATCTCACAATACGAAAGATACCCATACCTAATAATACTCGAGATACCATGTCTCACAATACGTGAGATACCCATGTCTCACAATACGTCTCCCAATATTCAGAATTGTGGGTACGGCTGCCAGATCCATCACGCGGTGTATTGCTTCATCATGGCCTACGGTTCCAAGCGAACGCTCATCCTCAAGTCCCAGGAATGGCGGTATAACCCGGCGGGGTGGAAGGATGTCTTCAAACCGCTCAGCAGCACCTGCACCGACCCCAGTGGCGGATGGATAGTTCACTGGCCTGGTCAGTGGACACATGACTTTTTTTCCTCTTCAAATCGCACATTTGTTCATTCACCGTAATTATCGTGGGTTCATTGTTATTTTGCAGCGTTCTGTTTAGCATGCGATCGATTAAAGTTAACTTTGCGATAACTTGAGTTTGAGTCATGTTTGCAAGGCCGGTTTTTAAAAGTAAAACTTTAAGATGTCATCTATTGTTACGAGTATTTTAACGAGAGTCGACTGATTTTTAAAGTTCTCACAAGAACTATTTTTTATCATATTTTTTTGGCGAGCGCTTTACAATTCTTTTCTGTTCTTTCACAATTTGTGTTCGTGACCATAACCCTTACAATATTATTTCTTTCTAACGTGTCTTCAATACAAGTTGAATAAACACCCACGAATGCAAGCAGCGCTTGCATTCTCATAAGAAGTTTTGGATACAAGACGAAATTTTGAATCTACATTTCAAGCTATTGTATGAAGCTGCAACGTTCTATCATGCACACCTACATAAATTGCCATATTTTGCGTTCAGGAAACAACAACACTCAGGTGCTGGACTTACCAATCATCGGCTCGCTAGCTCAACGGCCTGCGTTTTTACCTCCGGCGATTCCTAAGGATCACGGCAACCCTTCCGCCTGGTGGATCGGCCAGTTCCTCAAGTACATGCTTAAGCCACAACCCAAGCTCCAGCAAGTGCTCGACTTCATGAGCGATCAGATGAACTTCCATGGTCCAATCGTGGGGTGGGTATCCTCGTAGTGGGGGTAAAAATTCTTCAGTCTTTTGCTGGTCCTATTTTAAAAATTGGTTCCATCAATCGGCATAGTAACCGTTCAATTTAAATTCTATGAGTCGTTTGTTATCACGTTACTTTCACTACGGGACTAAACATGTTCAGCTCCACACGATAATTTTTTTCACGTTAGGGAAAATGGTTAGGGAAATATGTTGAAACAAACAAAATATGTCATTGGGATGAATAGCGCATTAAGTGTAAAGTTCATTTTCCACGTAAAGTTACTCTATCGGGACAAATATTTTAGGTCCTTCGGAACCAAGTACTGGGCTTATTCAAGAACACTCGTGAACATTACTGAAAAAATTCACGACAGTCTTTAAAAATTTATAATTTTTCTTTAATATTTTAGTAATGTTATTCTTAAAAATATGGTTTGGTTGGCGTGCGCGCAGAGTGCACGTCCGGCGTACCGATCAGGCCGCGTTTCATCCCATCGAGGAATACATGCGCTACGTCGACGAAATACTCGGCTGCACGGCAACCCTTCCGCCTGGTGGATCGGCCAGTTCCTCAAGTACATGCTTAAGCCACAACCCAAGCTCCAGCAAGTGCTCGACTCCATGAGCGATCAGATGAACTTCCATGGTCCAATCGTGGGGTGAGTTTCAGAGTAGTGAGGTAAAAATGATTCAGTCTTATGCTGGTCCTATGGCCCAATCGTGGCCCAATCGTGGGGTGAGTTTCAGCGTAGTGAGGTTAAAATGCTTCAGTCTTATGCTGGTCTTATTTTAAAACTTGGTTCTATCATATACCGTTGTTCAAAATAGGCCTAGTAACCGTTCAATTTAAATTTGAGGATTCGTTTGTTATCACGTTACTTTCACTACGGGACTGAAAAATGTTCAGCTCCACACGATCATTTTTTCACATTAAAAAAAATAGTTGAGGAAATATGATCAAATAAACAAAATATGTCATTGGTATGTGTAAAGTGTAAAGTTGATTTTCCACGTAAAGTAAAGTTACTCTATCGGGATAAATATTTTGGGTCCTGCGGAAGCAAGTACCTACTGGGCTTATTAACACGTTGACTACGATTGCTTCATCTTGCACAATTATTTCATTTTTTTGTACTTTTTAAGCAGGGTTGCCAGACGGTCATTTTTTCCGGACAAATTCCGTGATTTAGGTTTTCTCAATTGCGTTGGCCGGCTAAAATTTATGATAGGGGTACTTCCTAGTTAAATTTTAAAAAGTGCAAAAAGAAAATAAATGGAATTTTTATAGCGGAACCTACAAATAAACTAGTATACATTGAATTATCGGCCTTTTTTGGCCTTTTTTTTTGTTCTCGGATTTGGCCAATTTTAGGCAACCTGAATTATGTACCACTACCTCCTGGGGAAATACATTTCGTGGTACACATATGTACCAATACGTAGTCAACGTGTTAAAGAAAACTCGTGAGCATTACTGAAAAAATTCTCGAAAGTCTTTAAAAATTCATAATTTTTCAAAATAACCAAGGAATATTGTTCTTAAAAGTATGGTTTGGTTGGCGTGCGCGCAGAGTGCACGTCCGGCGTACCGATCAGGCCGCGTTTCATCCCATCGAGGAATACATGCGCTACGTCGACGAATACTTCGACGACCTCAGCCTGACCAGCCCCAACGTCAAGAGAAGAGTTTACGTCGCCTCTGACGACCCCAGCGTCATCAAGGATACCAGGAGCAAGTTAGTGATGGTACAATTTAAAATGAAATATTCACATCTGATAACATTGAAATATTCGGTGTTATTAGATTTTTTATCGGCCTTGCGGCGACTTTTAACATTCGGCCACCTTGCCGATTACGACCTCAATTTTCACGAGTTGTTTTGTAGGTTTCGAGTTTGTTAACTTAAACTGCGCTGTGAACTTGTTACTTAACGATGCTTGTGAACACTAGATACATCTATTCCAGATGCATTTGCAATTTTGCATTCGAGAGGAATTTACTTAGTATTGTGGATCCGATCAGCTTAGTATTCTGGATCCCAGCAACAACTCGGTTCTGGAGAAGCAAACAAAGAATTTTATTAAAAAAGCGGCTTTGAAATATAAGAATGATATATATAATATATAATGATAATGAATGATATATCTCTCAAAAGTAACTTAGTTGGAAATGACCGCATGAAGATGACAGTCATTATTATACAAAATTATTTGTAGTATTTTATTAATACTATAATTTCAAATTTTACTCGCGAATTGAAACCGAATTTTGCACCAGTATGCTTAAATTTTTTTAAGTTTCTTCATTATCAAAATTATTATGATTTCCTGTGATATGCGCTCTCATTTACTTGTCCCTTTACATTTAGCATGTTATTGTTACAAGATGATATTTAAAACGAGATCTTATTTAACTGTAAGAACTTGCATTCTAGTTTCTTCTGTCTAAAATTCCTAAAGTTAGAAAAACATCTCTTTACCTGAATTTTCGACTTATATTCATTTTGTGTTCGAGTTTATGATGATACCCACGTTACGTAAGACTGGGTAGTATAACAGTAATCATTTTCTTGTTCTCTACAACTTAATTTTGGATCGAGTTATTCGTTACAGATATCCTAACTACGAAGTTCTGGGCGACCCTGACATAGCCAAGAGTGCCGCCCTCACTACCCGCTACTCAGACTCTGCTCTGAAGGGCATCATCGCTGACATTCACTTCCTTTCACTCACGGACTACTTAGTGTGCACCTTCTCGTCGCAGGTCTGTCACTCTACTTTATATAATGATGGCCATGTCAATGTCAATGCCTTTTGATGAAAATTAATCTTTTTCATTTCCATCTAATGATGGTGATGTCAATGTGATTTGATGAAAAGAAAGTTTTTCTATTCCAAAAAGTATATCAGTTTGGAGCAAATAGGCTGATCTTTCATTTGACTATTTTTTTGTTTGTTTGTAAAGGATGAAAAATACCTAAATTTTACCTATAAAGCTTTAAAATTGTTCGAGGTAATCCAATTTTTCTGAATTCAATTTTTTTATTAATACCTGCAATTTTGTTCCAATGGATGTCATAGTGGATAATATGGAACATATCATCAGTGAGCGTCACAGATTATTTTACAATTTAACCATGCATATCATTTAGTTATCTTGCTACGTTTATAACCATGTGGGTATTATGTTTACCACATTACTGTCTTGGATGGCTCAGGTGTGTCGGATAGCGTACGAGGTGATGCAGACGATGCACCCCGACGCGTCGTCCGCCTTCCACTCGCTGGACGACATTTATTATTACGGCGGCCAGAGCTCCCACAACCAGAGGGCGCGCTTCGACCATGTGCCTCGCAGGTGCCTCTTGCTTCCATTGCCTTGATGTCCTAACGGCAGGCTCTCGTGGAAAAATATCCCTTGCAAAACAAACGCCATTATTTTAAGCCCAAGGGCATGAGTGTAATTGTTCTTCAGGACTTTGAAGTATATATTAAAAAAACGGGCCTCTTTGGGCCAGTTAAACGAGATAAATGGCCCAAATTTTGTTCAAATCGCTGCTCCTCCTCAGGTTAACACATGACACGCATTATTCAAGCGAGTAAACATCCTTTTTAAAGCTGTACTTTCATATAATTCTCAAATCATTTTTTATTTTACTAATAATGATTAAATAATTTTGGTGCGGAAGTGAAGTTTCTAGTCACATTAGTTTGAATGAGACTGCGCTTCGGGGCGTTAACTGAATATATTTTTAGATGTTTGGCTGTAGGCAAACTCTAAAAGAATCTTTTTACATGTTCAATTATAGCCAAGCATATAAAAAGATATTTGGCTGTAGGCAAACTCTAAAGGAATCTTTTTAGATGTTTGCCTACTGCCAAAAATTTAAAAATATGATTGGCTGTATTAGTCAAAAAATATGTTTGGCGGCAGCCAAATTCTAAAAGAATCTTTTTAGATGTTTGCCTATAGCCAATCATTTATATTCTGTGCAGCGGCTCAAACGAAATGGCTTTGACGAAGGGCGACATCATCGGCATTGCAGGGAACCACTGGAACGGCTACTCTAAAGGCGTCAACAAACGCACCCGTCAGAGCGCCCTCTACCCGTCATACAAGGCCGAGGACGTGGTGGTCACGGCAGACTGTCCTACGTACGAGGAAGTTAGATTAAATAGCAAAAGCGATAGTATCCCTGACATCGCAAGTCACAAACGTGATGTATTAAGTAATAGTTTAGAGAGAGAAAATAAAGTTACTTAACTAAGGCTACATAGCTTATTCCAGTGCCAAAGTTTTGTTTTTCTTCTACGATACACGAAGCGTGGACCGTTTTATCGTACGTGACTTCTCAGTTCTCACCATTTTTGTTATATAGTATATATAGGTCTTTTGATGACATTTATAGTCTTTGGATGACATTTTGTTCCAAATTTTGACAAATGGGAACATTATTCCAATAAAATGCCACTTTTACAGATTATAATAAGATTTTTTTATTTATTTCTGTTATCTACGTATGAAACCGGCAATGAGTCATGCTGGATGCGATTCCGATAATTGTTTGCTGTAAAACGTAATGTTTATTTTTACGTTACATTTTTATGTTACTTTACGCGAGTTTATGTGAAGTTCGTCATAAACCCAGTGAATTATGTTTGGTGTGTTAGGTGCTGATATAAACTTCACATAACGTAAGCGTCAGCGATATCAATTATTAGAAGAAATTATTTCGCGTACGGAATTTTCGTTTGGCAGGTCCACGGATCGTTTGGTTTGCGCTCACGTTAAGAGGTCACAAATCCATGCATATAAGAACTTGCGTTACCATATTTTTCTAAGACTTGGATTGTACTCCTTGCAAATGATGGATATTATGACGGTATAAACTGAAGAGATGAAAATTTTGAGATAAATTTAGATTGATGCTATCGTCTTGTGCAGATGTTCAAAATTGATTTATTTATATTTATTCGAGGTATAGGAGTCGTAACTATTATAAAATGCTGCTGTGAAATTACTTTTTTATACTCGCTTCAATCTGGTATTACAGTTCAGACTTAATGAACGAACTCTTCAGTTTAAGAAATTTGATCCCATTGCAAAATGTCGATGGCAAAGCATTAAAAAACAGTAACTTGTATAAATCTATTTTTAACAGTGATTGTGACGTATTACTAATTCAAAAGAGGCATTGTTTTCTCAGAGGGCATTTTTTGGACCTCCATTTTGTGTGTTTGTTCTAGTATTCCCACCCATTTGATGTTGACGTGTTCTATTACCACCTATTTGATGTCAGTGTGTTCTATTCCCACGTATTTGATATCTGCGTGTTCCCACATATTTGATGTGTGATGTACTCTCACAAATTTGATGTTAGCGATGTTCTTACCTGATTAATGACCGCGTGTACTACACTTGTACACTTGTCCAATGTAATCCGCTCGTACTCTCAACATATCATGCAATGTAATGAGCTCATTATCAATGTTCATTCCAATTCGCAAGTGTGTTATTTTTTGGCATGTTCGCCGATTACATTTTGTGGTCTTAGGTATACTGACTTCTATTCATGCTGACATGGCACATTCTGCAAAATGGTGTTATATAATTTGACTAAATATGTAGCACAGGAGGTTGGTTCGACAAGGCCTGCTTCTCGATATCAGGTGCGTTCGGATGTGTGCTTCTTTTAAATGACTTTTACCTCTGTGCCTGCTTGTAACCAGAGATTCGCGAGCTCTTTAAAGCAAATGTTTCAACAGACGAGTTGAATAACATCAGAGTTTTGTTTACAATACAGTGCAGTCTTAGTCAATACTCAAATAAGATATGTTCATCCCACCCTGTGTCTAATGCGGAACGAGCTTCTCGAAGTGACTTCGATTAGTTTCTGCGTTTGATTAGGAAATAAGGATATGTGCAACAAGAATGTCCAGCTTTCTATGGATAGATTGCATTAAAACTTTGTAATCAAAGCTAAAAATTGCATGCATTTTTTTTATTTTTTAACTTAACGTCTGTTGAGGGCCTCAGAGCTTTTTTTCCAAGTTTACCTTGAGCGATGCAAATGCTCAACGATATTTTACCTAATAATTATGTACTACTTAACATTATATCAGGAGTATGTGTTAATATAATTAATTCAACTTCTTAAACTATTTCCATTTGTAAAATAGTATTAGAAGTTTTGGTACGTTTTAGACATTGTATTACGACTTGCGATATTGTTACGCGTTTGCTATTGTGATCTGGTGAATGTTGCAAGAGTACATGTAAGTGCCCTTCAGTCTGTACGCCTTACAGAATTGTTCTCACGGTCTTCATGTTTGAGTGTCCACCTTATGCTCCGTCGTTCCAGTTTCTTCTCGTGCCAGAAACAAAAGACAAATAATCTGCTAGGCTTGAATATAGAAACTATCATTCGATAAAGTTTCACAGGTCTCAAAGAGCGATATCAAGATCTCCGTTGTGAATGTGCCGAAATGCCGGTGATATTTATAATTCACACTTCCAATGTACCTCAAATTTGTGGACATGTTAAAAACTATAACGACGCAGGGATGTCAAATTAATAAGCCTGCACTTTTGTAAAAAAAAATGGTAAGCTAAATTATTTTATAAGCCATCATATTAAACGTGATCATACCTACAGTACAGTCGAGATGAACAGTTCAATCCAAGTTAGGATTTGGTTAAACGGCTAGCGAATGGAGACAAGTAAATAATAGATCTTGAGCATATGCGAATGGTTTAAAACCCGGAGAGCGCAATTTATTAGTGAATTCAATACAACTGTTGTGGAACTAGTCATACACATCCCGCAACCGCGGTTAATGGAGAATAAATGAAATATAACATGCGTTTCTTTGTCCCTTTGGTCTTATTATCTTTTATTGAACTCAATCGTTATCGGAAAACTTAGCAGTGAATGTAAGAGCGAAATTCAACACGCAAAGGAAGGATCGAAACTTATATTCCCCTATTTAGTTGGGTTAGAACAGGATTGCGTATCCCCAAATGATTTTACTTGATTTTCCATTTCTGTCAATAAGGCATCAACAGTTTTTCTGTTTCACATCTTATGCTTACTTCATGAAGAAAGCCATTTTCACACAATACATAGTTTGAAGTTCTAACACTTCTTTTTGCCGGATTATTAGTAGTGAAAGAGTTATTGACTAACAATGGTTCTGCAAGTCTACGTACAGAGAACATGCAGAACAAAATTGTATACCTGCTTAATGCATACTGGAAAAATATTACTATTTTCAATCTATACTAGAAAATTTTCATTATTGTTCTAAATCTAGCACTTCAGATGCGCGTTTTTAAGCGAGAATTATTTCCATTTCTACATATGTTAACACGGAATTCTATCCAGCTGGAAACGTCACGAAAAATGTTCTCAAACATTTGTATGTAAACGCATGCATCAGGTACACGAATAATTAAAGACAACTTATGCCTCATTCCGCGTCTATGAAGCCTTGCATAAAAATTTCTATTTCGAGTTTCTGATGTTGACAGCCATGTCTGAAATCTTCATCTCGGCGAGAGAAAGCCGCTGTTCCAAGAGAATGACGGTCTGAGTGAGCGTGTCCATCTGAGTCATGAGTTGGTCCATTGAGTCCTTCAGATGCTGCAGGATGGTCGAGTCAGCCGTGGATGTGTTCTTGTTTTTACGAGGTTCACGGGGTGGTGAAGCAGGGGTCGCTGCATCGTTGGCATTCTGCAATCAGATCAATAAAAATATAGGTACGGCATCAATGGAAACCATTGACACAGGAAATACAGGTTGCCAGCTATCATACAGTATCAACTTGCTACGGGCTAGTTACTGGCAGACTGGGACGAAGCCCTTGCCACAAGTTCTCATCACGGGTTCGAGATTATAAGACGGCGTTATCAGAGTAACTTCACATTCTAGCACACCAGATGTTTAAAGCAAAAGCTGACGTCCTGCGAAGCTAAATTATTGAATAGAATAGACATCTGCCACGGCCAGAACCACTCTCAGAACAATGAAAGGGCAAATTTTTCAAATAGTGACACTTTCTAATTGCAGCACTAATTCTGTCCCTAGCCAATGAGTTATAATGACGACATTCGATGTTTTTAGATACTATTTCGTATTTCAATTTCCAGAGAGCCCATACGTTTTTTTCTTCAAGTTCTAGCACTCGTTGTCCACGCTACGAGTTTTAACGATAATTGAATACTAATCGTAATATAATTCTTGAAATTTCTATCTATAAAGTGGGAGCATCTTGACTGATTGATGGATGTGAACATAAAATAAACAAGTGGAAATAGTTTAATTAATATAGTTGAACGGAAATGCCAAGCTTTAATAAAATCGGCTCAACATTCGTTTGCGTGGGAGAAAATATTACCCTCACCGCAAATTAAAAATTACACTAAACTCGTAAGGCATCATAGTTTCATTCTACACGAACAGAGAGGTGTAAAACATCATGCATTATAAATATTGCGAGCGTAGAAACTCAGTCCAACATTTGGAAACAACCTGTGCATTCCATCTTCTTCGTAAAACGTAGCTCTTCCCAATGCCCGATCTACACTATTTTACATTTGTATTTATTTTTTATTTGCAACTACGGTATTCTCACTCCAAAGTCATGAAGATGTACTCGAGAAGTACAACGGGATATCTATTTAGAAGGAAAGAAAATCGGGGTAGATGAAAACAGACGAAATGCTAAACTATCTAAGTAACTCAAGTGTTCAGCCTTAAGTTTAAGGTACAAGTTTTTTTTTAGTTTTAAATAATAAATTAAACAATGGTCTGCACTGAAATCATAGGACAAAATGAATAGGATGAAATTACTGCAGATTCTACATAAAGCATTGAAATGTGAGCAAGTAATCATCAGAAAAGAACATCCCAAGATCAAGGCTATGAGGTATTTCCTCAACAGTTGATAAGCATATGCATACAAAGGCAATCTGCTCATCTCTTTACACAAACTTCGAAGAATTTGGTGTGTCCAAGCGGAAGAGATCAGTAAAAAAATGAAACTTTTTGCTAGTCATTTCATTTTGATTGCTATTATACAAGAATTTTGCTGCCTAACATAAGGTTAGCAGAATACGATAAAACACATTGCATAAAGTTGCTAGCAAATTAATAGAAATAGAACAAACAAAAAGACGCCTCATATAATATTTACAAATGAATAAAAATATTTACATGCGCTTCTTAATAGTTACATATTATTAATTTTCCTTCAATGGATAAATCAAGGCATTATCGGAGAATGTACTGAAAATTCTCATGATATAGTTAAATAAGCGGCATTGTAATCTTCATAGATAATTTCATTAATGCAGGGATTGCGCTCAAACACTTAAATTTGATGAATGCTTTGGACTCGATGAGCCACTTTCTAATAACAACTTTATTTCTTAGAAAATTTAAAAATAGGAGAGAGTGAGAATAAGGTCTCATAAATAAATGCAGGATACCGGGGAAACTAAGGTTTAACATGCTATGAAACGATTTCACTGGGAACCTTATTTCTAACAGTTATTTCCAGAGGAACCTAGGGGAACCTTTTTTATTGCACGTATTTCTACTGGGAGCCTTTTCTCTAGCAACTAATTCTCAATAAAATATGGTTCCCGTGGAAATAACTGTTAGAAATAAGGTTCCCACCAGAATGTTTTCACTGTGAACCTTATTTCTAACAGTTATTTCCAGAGGAACCTAAGGGAACCTATTTTATTGCACGTATTTCTACTGGGAGCCTTTTCTCTAGCAACTAATTCTCAATAAAATGTGATTCCCCTGGAAATAACTGTTAGAAATAAGGTTCCCACTAGAATGTTTTCACTGGGAACCTTATTTCTAACAATTATTTCCAGGGGAACCTAGGACTTCTTACTTGTTCTTCAGCATGCGGAGTATCCTCGAGCTGCTCGTCGTGTGTGAGGGCGACTGTGACGTCATGCAGGGCGCTGCCCTCCCTGTCAGGCTGCATGATCGTCTCCTCCAGGCAAGGGAGAGGCTCCACTGCAGTTAGCAGCGACCTCCACAACAACACCTGCTCACAATTAAATTTCATTAGAAAAGTTGTCATTCGTCACATACAAGCTAAAAAATATATATTATATATATTATACATCGCCCAAGTTACCGAAAATAAATAGTTTACAAACAGCTTGTTAGGTCACGCGTTGCCCAATTCAAAGGACAGCTGACATCTTAATGATGTTTCATCAACGAAATAGCGTGAATATTAGGTGTGTCTAACATAAATTTAGAGTTTACAAGTTAACTACATTGATACGCCCAGTGGTTGCTTGGAGCATCAAGAGGAAGTTCCTTGAACCATAAAGCTGAAGTTCCTTGAAACATCAAATTAGGCCATTTAACCATCATATCAAGAGCCGTGAACCATCAAATCAGGTGCCTTGAAAGTTGAGCTATCAAATCAGGTGCCTTGAACCATCATATCAGGTGCCTTGAACCATCATATCATGTTCCTTGAACCATCTCAACAGGTCATATCGCCGAGGCATAACCTGTTTGTCAGCCGACGCCGTGGCGAAGCAGTCACCCGTCGCATCAAAGGTGGTGGCCGTGACAGCGTCCCGGTGGCTGTGCAGAGTGTACACGGGACGACCCTCCACCACGTCCATCAGACGCAGGGACTTGTCTGAAGAGGCTGACAGCAATACGTGACCTGTGCAGCAAATGTAGATCAAGTCAATTACTCAAGTCAATTTTTTCATCTGGTGAGCAGAAGAAAGAAGTTTGAACTTTCTGATACTTCCTGCAATCAAAGACGATGTTCCTTAATACATCAGTAACAATTGTCATCCATTAAAATTTATTTAACTGCCATATTTTCATGAGCGAAAGACAAATGAAAAAATACCGCTATTACTTCGGTAGCTTCTTTCACATTATTCATATTGCTCATGAGTTCAGTCAGCCTATAGGTCTGAACCGAGCCTCGGCATCTAAGTAGCCTACCTGTATGGGTGAATTAATGTCTCAAATTATCAAATAATATTATCTTCTCAAAGTGTATTTATATTCGGCACACTTAAGTTCCCTTCGGTCGTTTTATTCCTTCAGATCTCATTATCTACACAAGCAGATCCTTTTCGCAGCTTGAGCTTCACAACAAACGGTCTGCAGCCGTCCCGCCACACAGTCCTTCATTAATTTCTCTTTGCCTCACTGCAAAACATTTCGCAATGCTGTCGTCGCGATTATACTTCAAAGTAGTGCGTAGCTAAAGCTCCCGAAGTTAGCGTGAAGTGTGTATTCATTTGATGTACCTATATACCGAAATTTAACTGAATAGATTGATATTCAATGATACGAACGCTGGTTCAGAGACTCGTCAGGACAAACTAGTTAGGCATAAATATTTGGACACACAGTTCGCGTGAAAAGTCTATAGAGGGAAAATTTCATATACACTAGTAGTACCTATACATAATTTTAGCTCAAAATTTCTTGACTTTAAACATTTGTGAATTCAATGTTACTAGTAACGAGTTCAAAGAAATTACGTCATCTGCTTGCAAAAAATCAGACTTAAAAATCACAAATCTTCACTAAGATGATTCAATTCTTCATTGAATCATCGTGATGAAGATGAGCCATCTAAAGGATGATGGCGGTGCAGCTCATTCTCAATGATCAGTAATTCGAGCCTCTAATGCCTTTAGCAACCAAGTTTTTAGCCAACAACTTTGGATACATTTGAAAATTGCATGGTTGCTATGATAAACCTTTACTGAACAATAAGACTGACTGTGAGCTTGATAAACTCAAATAAATGGTATACAAATTCATTCAACCTAGTAATTAATCAAAATTTAACAAGTACAGTATCAATAATAATACTCTCCAGAACTAGTCTAATTTACAAGTAAAACGCTATGTTGCTGCCTTTTGCCAAAAGAGACATTTGAACCTCCCACAGATAGATGGAGATAGCCCAGAGGCTTCTAACAAAATGCGGCTGGCGAATTCCATGTGGGCAACAGGAAACATTGATCATTTGTCTGGCAAATATAATGTGGGTAACGGGAAGGATGGATTATTTTAATTCAATGCATAATTTTAATGCACTAACCAGAAGGATGGAACGATATGGCGTTGACGGCAGCGCTGTGGGTGGTGTAGTGCTGCAGCAGCTGTCGAGACCGGATATCAAACACCTGGTGGAAAACAGGTCTATTTAATACCTAGAGCTAATTACAAAATTTTATTTCGCTTACAATCAATATGTGATAAGTGTGAGGCGCACACAGTGATAGTGCCAACTCCTGCAGATATTGTACAGTTTGATGCAGAGGCTACAGCATATTTACTAACAACTAATTCATCTATCATTCTACTATGCTCCGGCCACAGTTTTCGTCCTCGGACAGCCTTTCCGCGATTTTTTTTACTTGCACTCTGACTTTACCCTACTTCTATATTCTAATTTCTATATTTTTCCGTATCAGATTAGGAACCTAAAGTGTTCTCACAAAAGTCATGATTCCATTGAGGCTAATACTGATGAAGTCTAAACTCTAACACAAGAGAATTTCATTCCAAATTAATTTGTATTGCACTGCTTCAGCGTCCTCAAGCAGCACCTCCACCGTCACACAAGACCGGCTTTTGTACAGCTATTCCTGATATTGTTGCATTAGCCAATTTTAAAACACGCTCAACTTAAAAAATACGGTCAAATATTTATAAGGAATTATGACGCTCATACGTTTCCATAGGCTCAAAAAAGCCTGCATAAAACGTTAAATTTCCTCTTTACATCGGCGTAACACAAACCAAAATGAAGAAGAGCAGAAATTCTTACTCCAACGGAGGAGTCTGCCGAAGCCGTTGCAAAGCAGGTGCCTGAGGGATGGAATGCGACCTGGCGACACTCGGCCCTGAAGTCGCTGAAGGTGTGCACGGTGCTGGACGTGCGCACGTCGTGTAGTTGAACTGTCTTGTCATCTGAACAAGACAGCAACGTGCGTCCATCGGGGGACCAACGTACGCAACGAACCTGCCCATACGCTATTCCTGTTAGCACCATCACTGACGTGACAGAATGTCTAAAGTGTTTCATAAGACAGAGGTACAATAAGTGGTAAACTACTATACATATTCAATGAGAATAGTCTTGAAAATCATACAGAGATTCGATCATGCTCTCAGTATTTTATAATCATTTGCTTTGAAAGATAAAATAAATTTCACAAATGCAAAAACTATAGAATATCTACATAAAATACAGCATTAGTACATGTAAGATAAAAAAACAACAAGAAAGAAAACCATCAATGCTGGAAGAATTTCAAAATAATTTTACAGCCAGTCACAGTTCTTTTTTAGCCTTGAATTCTATTTGAAACCAGAAATTCCAGTTTCACACTAGGATTTGCCTAGGCACACAAGAAAAAGTAACTGACCCAGTGCTTGTGAGAAAGGATGGAGGAGATAAATTTCCTCTTGTGCACAGTCCATAGCTTGATGACCTTATCATCAGCACCCGTGACGAGCTGGTCCCCGTCAGGGGAGAATTGCACAGATCGAACACCACCTTGATGAGCCTTGAATTCACTTGACTCTCCTGCACAAGAAACATTTGGTAAATATATCTTTTTGTTAAAAAATTCAAACTTGCATCACTACTTGTAAGCTTGCCAAGAAGAAAAATGTAAGCTCATAGGAATAAACCACTAGCACAGAAAAATAATGAATTTATTACAATCCAGGTTTAATGTAAGCTGATGTCTCTCGTACACCAGTATTTATATACACCAGCTTGTGAAGCTTGGAGACCAGCTTCATCATAAATTAAGTAATTAACAAATTTTCATTGATACCCTATTAAGAGTTAAAATTAAAATACCAATTTTGAATATGATTATTATTTTATCAATTTATAGGTAAACTTATTTGATGATTGGTTAACCAATTAATCACCTCGTACATTAGGAATCCAGAGTCTCACAGTTTTATCTTTAGAAGATGATGCCATAAGGGAGTTTTTTGGTGAGAAGTTAACATCATACACAGCATCTGAATGTCCCAAATACCTGCAAAACAAAATAAATATGAAAAAAATGCATTGCACCTTCAGAACTGTTTACTTCATGCAATGAATGTATGTGTACATTTCCTGCAATTTTATAAAAAATGACAAATGTGTAATTTTAACCCTTTAAGCATTTAACAGCTTCTAATTTTAAAATAATTTTTTTAACAAATGATAAATCCCAAACAAGTTTATACTGTCTGTGAAATAGACTATGACCCATATTCTTTTATTTCTATCTTTTTGCTATTTATAGCTCATCAAAGTCACCGTAATGCTACCCATGGTTGCTGGAATGCAGCTCAAAGTCACCCCCAATGCTAACTAGAGTCACCCTTCTAGGTGCAATTTAAGACAAAAAACAAGAAAATTTTGTCAAAGAAGATTATAAACTTTTGGGACAAATTGTTAGTAGCTAAGTACAAAGTAGCAAAAATATGTAGGATACAAATATAAATCAATTTATATACCAGTGAAAAGGACAAAGAAATAAGCTTTTATCAGTATAGTGGAACAATGATTTAAATAGAGAAGAGCACCTGTAAGCTCGCATTTGTGGCTTGAGGTTCCAGACCATGATGGTTCCATCAAGTGAGGCAGAGATGAGCTGCTTGCCATTGGGGTTGAAAGACAAGGCAGTCACACCACTCTTGTGACCACGGAAGTGTCTTTCCAGCACTGGATCTTGATAGCTCATTATTGTTTTTTGCTAATAAGGCCAGGATTCAGAACTCTTCCAATCACTATAAATTTGCAGTTAGTAATGTATTTGAAATATATTCTGAGGAAAACAAACAAAAAATCCCATATTTTAGAAACAATGTATTTATATATACATCAAACTGATATTATTTAGAAAACAAATTTGGAGCATGGCCATCCCATGTCATGCACATGAATAGCCCAATCTAGACTGGATGAAAACTAGTACTACCTGGACAATACCTGTACTAGGTACATTATACACATCACTTGTAACTTGGAATAGTAGGTACACTAATTGGACAGTACTTATGCAATGGTCAGTGTGTGTAAATAATAGTCGAATTATATATTAGGTATACTGCATAGTGCATACCATTTATGTGGTAAATGCTGTCAAAGTACAATTCATATAATGGAGTTGAACATCTTAAGCTAATTATGCAACTGCATTGCTAGTAAAATAATATATGTTTAAAAATTACTTTTTAAAGACAACACTTCTAGAGAATCCAGTCTCCAATGATACACATGTACAATGAATTTCTAATTTTATTATCAAATGTAAAAAAAATTAATTTTTAAATTTTAGTTTTAAAATTGAAAACAAATAAATTTGCAAAATTATTTATTCTGTCAATTGAATCATGCATTGTCTCCAACTTTATATAAGTGTGCAAAATTTCAGTTTGATAATTTGATTAGAAAGGTAGAAGTGTGTTTGATACCAATTACAAGATAGGCCTATATGCAGCAGACAAAATTATTTTTAAAATTTTTTTTAATATTGAAATTTTTTTTAATTTTTAAAGTTATTCATTCTGTCAATTGATTCATGCATTGTCTCCAACTTTACGTAAGTGTGCAAAATTTCAGCTTGATTAGAAAGGTAGAAGTGTGTTTAATACCAATTACAAGATATGTAGCAGACAAAGTTATTTTTTCAATTTTTTCAATATTGCAAAAAAATTAATTTTTAAAATTATTTATTCTGTCAATTGATTCATGCATTGTCTCGGAATTTATGCAAGTGTGCAAACTTTCAGATCGATTGGAGAGGTAGAAGTGTGTTAAAAATCGATTAGGTATAAGATTTGTAGCAGACAGACAGACAAACAAACAAGAAGTGAAGTTAAAGAGAAGTGTTGTAAAAAACATTGGAGCTTAAACAGTTTCTTCTGAGTAGTACCTAGTAAGCATGGCTTAGTTCACTCTCACAATAATGCAATCCATAATGACATTGAATTCCTTGAAGTCCTCAGCATCAGCATTTGGCAATTGAAATTTATTTAAATTTGTTTATGTTTCACCACAGAATTTTTCACTTGTATATTTCACCACATGAATTTTTTTTCACTTGTATTGCAGTGCAGTAAAGTAAGGCAGACTGTTGAGTGTAGAAGTTGAGATATTGGGATTTAAAATTGAGATATTGGCATCTTTTTGAGCTTCTCATACGCAATTAAGTAAGCATCAGCATCACATTGGATACTATAGCTTTGATGACAGAATGCATGCTGTATGGCATTACCATAAGTTACCATTAAAATGACGAATAGCAACTTCAACTCCATAGTCAGCTAAGCAGTCATTTTCATGGATACCGGTACACAATGAACAAACCTTGAAATTTCATATTTTGCAGGACAAAATTTTAGGAGCTAAAATATTTTTAAGTTAATAAGACATGAGATGATCAAGCAGCAAGAGTTCAATTGCCTTAAAACATGTGAATTTGGAGGTGCAAAATTAAGCAAGTAGAATTACCCAACAATAATTGCAAAATTTTGCTACCATGGACATCAGTTACAAACTATCCCATGATTTATTGATAAAATGATTTCACTGTAAACAAAGTTTTGGGTGCATCAGCATGATTGCTTTTACAGCAATCCCTTGATTAACGCGGTTAATAAATCCCCGAGTTTTACCGTGTTAAGCAAAACCGCGCTAATCAAACTTAAGAATATATGGGAATAATTATAATGAATCCTCAAAAATAGCAAAGTTTGATAAAATGTTATGTAGTTTGATAAAAGTGAGCAGTAGATATGGCAGCGATCTTGACCAGTTGAAGGCTAACGAGTAACTAGAGCACCGGCATGGCGCACTTACCGGCGAACGTTGCCGAACTCGACCAATCGAGTTATGAACGAGACAAGGCATGGTTAAACCGACTCTGTAGTCAGCACGAGTGCCTACGGAACGGGACCTTATTTAAAGAATTATTGGCTGAAATTCATATGTAACAACATTTGGCAAATTTTTCCAAAATTCGTAACAAAAGTAATAACATAAGATCTAATAAGCAAAAAGTAACACTTTTGTTACGAACGTAACACCTCTGGCTAGAGGCAGGAAAATGATGCGTTGTGAAAAAAAGTCGCGCTAATCAAAACTGGCACCGTGTAGATTAAGGGTAGGTTGCAATTTTTTTTCCGCATTAATCAAAACCGCCGTATTCAAAACTATGCTAATCAAGGGATTGCTGTATAGTATTAAATGTCACTATTATTAGCTATTGATTTGCTAGCCTACAGTTTGCAGGGTGAAATTATTTCATACCATATAACCTTAAGATTCCCTAGGTAACATACCAAGAGTGTTTAGGGACACTCACCCAAGGTCATGCTGAAAGCAACACCTTTTTGCCAGCGACTAAGCGCCGTCCACTATCAACACCAAGACAAACTGAGCTTAATGAGGCTAAAACCCACACCTAGCTCCTCCACCTCGGTGTAGCGGTGCCATCATCACTGCACATACAGTGATGCTGACCACTGCCCTACAGTAATGCACCACATATATTCAAGATCAATCTAGCCTTGTCTGCAGACTGCAGTTATTGTAATTTTATATTATAGATATGTAGATTCAATCATTTTTGACTTGTGCACTAATGTGACAATCATTTACAGTTGCAAATTGACAAGGATTTACGTGGATCCAGTCATTTCTATTCACTGTCTCATATTTGGGCAATATTTCAACAATTTATAGATTTGAAGATTAAAATATTGCCAACAGTATTCAGGATGCATTGCAACATTGCCAGCAGCAGCAGGCAGCAGTGCTACATCTTCAAGTAATTTCTCATAAAAAAATGCCGCTAACAATTTTAATTTTCTTAATCAGATACTTAAAGAACTGTCAAAAATAAACTTTGAACTTTTCAAAACTAACCTATCAATGTTTAGTTGAAAAACTTTATCTGGGTTATAAAAAAAATTCTAGTTTCAGGTTTCCAATCTAACATGCAATTGTGCAATGAATTGTAAGAAATAAGAATCTGCTAATACATTATTACCATTGTCAGTTTCACCTTGTCTAAATAATTTAGCCTTAAGGATTTTTCACTAAAGATAATTGTCAATTTGTCATTCATGGACAGATGGGCAATTGGGCAAAGGATATTTCAGTCAATTGCACTGTCAGTGTCAGGGGCCAAACTGAAAAATTGGGGCAAAGCCACCAATAAAATGAATAAATTAGACAAAAATACCTTCTGTGTGCTGAAAATTTAATCCCTTTTTTTGACCTTTGCCTAGGGTAAACGCGGTATATTCCGACATCGTAGGTAATTCCATCACTTCTCTAGTTTTTCCTTTATATTAAGCTTTGTTTTAGTTCCATGCGTTCATTGATGGTTGAAATGGTGACGTCATACATTTGCGTGTCGAAATACTGCAAAAACACTAGGTCTTGGCCATCTAGCAGGAAAATATTGAGATCCAAAGAGAGACAATGCATGCCACGTGGTGAGATCATCAAAAAATGTGTCAAATTTGACACATTTGTTTGTTGACATGGCTCTACCAAATAGTGAATAACTGTTTTTATAGGAAGAATATTATGGTTTGAGACTTTTAAATACGTCTGTGAATATATTAGGAATCCTTTAAGTATACTTGTATTCGCTGATTTCATGTCGTAAATAAATTAATAGATGATTAAGTTGAGATGTTGGATTTCGACACATGAAAACTAATTCCGACACAACTTGAATTGGGCACACACAGATCGTTCAAAGCTTTGTACAAAAAGTGAAATTTGCTTAATTAAAAGCCTAATAGCTGTTAATTAAAACGTAATTAAGTAGTGTTCAATATTCGTTAGTGTTCTAATTCAAAGCCGTGTTGTATCCCAATACAGCTCACACAGCAAACGGAATTCGAACACATGGATGTCGGCAATACGTATCAGTTAAATTTGAAGCGCTGACGCAATACGACTCACCACGTGTCGGATGTTGCCACACAAAGTGACGGAATATAGGGATTTGGTAGGTTTCCATTCTAAAGGCTTTTTAATAAATATGGCAACATTTTGTGACGTTTCATTGTTGCTGACGCGTAGTGAAGTGTTTTGAGAGTCATGTGAAGGCAACAGAACTTACGTAACGCATACGTTTTTTTTTATAGTTTTTCATTTCTCGATGCGTCCCTAAAGTGTCGGAATATACCGCGTTTACCCTACTTAATTTCGTAAAAATTATGAAAAATTGTACATCTTTTATAAAATTTTTGAAAATCACTCATGAAATGTCAGAATCAATGGTTTCTACTTGAAATTTTTTCTGCCTGAAAGTTAAGATTTCATTAGGTGGCATGTAGATAGGCTACAACTACAAGATTTTAAAATAAAATTTATTTATTTTAAATTCAACCCCTTTGTTCAGTCTATTATATTTATATATTACAGTCACTATCATAAAATATGCAGGTTAAAATTAAAAATTTACTAAAAGGATTTTCTTTGATCCAAGTTACTCTAGTCTCTATTGAGTATAGAGTGACTATAGACTATTGAGTAAATAAATCATAACTAAATTAGGTATATATATTAAAATTGCCCAATGGTACCAATTTTAATTTTGTAAGAAATTTAAACTTTGTTATAAGGTTGTAATATAAGAATGTCATTAAATTTCTTAAATATTTTAGAAGCATATTCAAGGTATCAATGGCTTAGAAGTAGGTATTCAGCTAAGGTATTAAGGTTTTGAATTGCTGTTCTTAATTTCAAAATTTGTTCTTTTCTTAATGTGAATTTTGTTCTCTAATTGAAGAATATAATAAAGAATAGTCAGTAGTTAAAAAAAAACATAGTATTGGAAAGGTTGTTTCACAATTTACCAGCAAGCTCCAAACACCAGTCGGCAGTCACCACTCGGCCTCGGCAGTCGGCACAGTGGTCACCAGTCACCACAAGTCACAACAGCCCTTGTGGCTTGTGCCAAGCCACTCCAGTCTCCAGGAGTCCGCTCAACGGCTCAAGGCTGCAAATAATATGCTTACATATAGTTTTTGCTTCTTCGAGCAAATCAAAGTAATTATAACGATACAATACAACACTGTTCATAGTAGTCAGTAGAGATATTCCATGGCCGGAGGCACACAATTTGAGTCTATGACAAGCAATGATTTCACATCGATTCATCGAAGTTTAAACATACCGGGCAAAGCAGCTGTTTGAACTTTAAAAACATTAACGATGATAGATACTTTGAATTTATAGACGACCGAAGATTCTCTTCACTGCAATTCCAATGTTACTGAAGGACGAATTAATTTTTTTAAAAGGAATTAAGAATACCAAATGGATACAAAAAAGAAGTGTTTGTTCCAACTCAAAGATATGTATCGTCATTAGTTATAAAATGTAGACGATGATATTTAAATGCCGAAACCAAGGTCGGTGCTTCTTTTGTGTGTGTGTGTTTTTTTCAGGCTCACAGTCAGCAGTCTGATTGGGATGGCAGTAGCTTCAGTATCAGATGAAGATTATCGATAGACTGTCGGCAGTGCGTTCTATTCGGTCGATTGCAAGTGTGTAGACTCTCTTTGATGTATACTATTATTGTATAGTGTCAGTAGACGCTAAGTAACTCACAGATGCGCAATGAATTTTAAATTTTCTTGCTCTTCAATCTTTATGTGGTTTGTGCAAATGGTTTATTTTGTGTTTAAAAATTATGACTTGCGTAACCGACGCCAAACAATTTTTTAACATACTGCACAAAATTCATCGCTAGCTTTCATTTATCTAGAAAATTAGTCCTTTTTTCACTTTTTAAACTGTTTTGTCATATATTTTCAAAAAATAATGTGGTCCCTTCGTGTAATTTAAATAAAATTAAAGTACTTCCAATTTGTTGAAATATAATTAATGCTGAACCTAATAAAACGCTTTCAATGAATTACAGAAATACTTAAACGAATTTCTAATTCGTTGATTCGCCCTCAACAATATCATTCTAACGTGTGTTTGATTTTGTAATACTGTGTCCTCACCAGTAACGGTTAGCGTAATATAAGTAGCTGAAAAGAAGAACATTCACTTTTCATTGGTGATTGAAAATATTTAGCGATGAGAATAGCAATATTTGGAGCGACGGGCCAGACTGGCCTGGAGGCCGTGGCCCAGGCGCTGCAGAAGGGCTATGACGTCACGGCTGTCGTCCGCAACCCCGACAAGCTCGCCATACGGGACTCCAAGCTCACTGTTAGTAATTATTAACTAATGAGTAATGTTATTACTAACCTTTTTAATACGCTGCTAAATAGACAGCTATGAATGAAGTGGAACAATTAATTTTAGGGAAGATACGAGATAGACCGATGTAATTGGGAAGCTAATAGAAGTAATTATTTCATGCAGTGAAGTGTGAGATAATCACTATTATTTGACATAGCCCAGAGTAATCGTATCCCGAGAGCGATACACAATCTTATCTCTTCTCGATTCATGCCGTACGTAAATAATGAAGGACCAATCAACGACATCATGAAAGGCCTATACAGCCTAATGAGCGCTGAAAGCGCTATATTATTATATATATATTATTATATCATCATCATTCATGATTTGGTTACATCATTTGTAAGACATGTAAATAACATTCTATGTTTTTGGTGAAAACCATAACGTCATGCAGGCATTATCAGTTTGTTAAAACCATAAATTTGAAAAAAAAATTACAAACGTTTAGGAGACCAACTGCGGCTATGTTTGAGAGTGTGAAGAGATATTTGGAGAACGTGTGGAGGATGAGGGAGAGGAGGAGGATGATAAGAGTGGAGTCTTGAGGAATGGAGGGTTGAGAGAGGGGAGGGTGGGAAGACGTGTGAACGTGCCGCATTGTTTTAGTACGTGGTTTTAATATCTTGCGATTGTCAAATTTTTATATTTTTTCTTAGGACAGCTGTGAATATGGTATATTTGAACTTTTTTGTCAACATAAGAGTGTGAACTTTTAATTTTTTTTATGCTAGTAAAAGTTTTTTAGGCAGCGTGTATGACCGATTTAAAGGTCGTGACCGTAGGTCACCACGCACCCCAATTCCAATTCCAGCTCCATCGTCATTTCAAAATTTCATTAATACAAGTGCCTATTTTCACTCGAACACGGCAGAGCTTTAACCCTAATCAGCCTAACGAGAATAGGTATCAAGAACTAACAAAACTTTCAGATGTTTTGGTTATTAGACTTGCATGGTTTACACCAACCATTCACCTTGAGTTGCAGAAAATTCATTTATATACCAGCGAAGAAATTACCTAAGTTCCAAATCTAAATTAATATTAATAATTTCTTCATCAATACATCAAATTGTCTCAAATTAAGTCCTTGTTATACAAACCACGCATTATTTGACGCAAACCAAACTGTAGGGAAAAATTTTAGCGCGAGCGATGAACGGTTAGCAGGTGGTTTTAGTTAGTGATGAAAGGTGCAGTTGTAGAAATGCGCTGAACTTGTCAAAATACCGACATACTTTTCACTCTTATGTAAATATTCTGACCCAGCTGGGTTCAACATGAAGGCGTATCTGTGCTACTTGCAGAAAGTGTGTCCCAATATGTGTTTTTAGGCGCATTTTCTCATTTTTGGACTAAATTCACTATTGTGCACGCCATGTCCATCCGTCCGTCCGTCCGTCTGTCCGTCCGTGACTTTAAGTTTTCGTCGACGAGAAAATGCGCGCTCTGTCACTCACTGCAGTGAGTACTGAGTTATATTTTTTGACAATATGACCCGTTCACTGTTCAGAGTGTACGCAGCTAGCCAGCCCGCTTGCGACGCAGTCTTAAATCAACAGAATAAATGTTTGAATGGAAGTGACGCCGCGGGGCCAAACATGGGCTTCATCCTGCCTCGGTTGTAGCTGCTGAGTCATGAGTGCGCTCACAAAAATTAATGTGCTATTTTGTCCAAATAGTAACACTTTCTGCATTATCACTGATACACAATTTTCCCTGGGTCTAATTGAGTCAGGATGAATCACACAAGAGTAATCGCTTTTTGTACAAAGTCTCCCTTATTTTGCTGGGTGCGAACCTCGATCCTCGAAGTGCCGAATGCTACAGCGCAGTGTTGTGGGCTTGTGGCTATATGTAAATGACTAAATGATGCTAAATGACTTTATGAAACAGCAATTTCATTTTACCTTATAGGTAAAAAAACTTGACCTATTCTAATTATTATTAAAATGGTTATTATTATTTTTTATCGTCATCATTATTATTATCATCTTTATTATAATTATTATTAATACTATTATTAATTATTATTATATGTAATGGTGCAGGTGGTGCGGGGTGACGTGATGGACGCGGCGAGCCTCACGCCGCTGCTGGAGCACCACGACGCCATCGTCTCCTGCCTCGGCTTCCCGCGGGCCTCTCCCGTTACGTTAGTTCGCTAGTTTATTATTAATAATTACAAACTTTCAATATAAAATATTTTACAATTATTTTCATTTCCCACAAACTAAATTGGAGAATTTGAAAATGCGTTGAAATTATAAATCTAATCCAAATACAATTCTTAGAGTTAAAGTCAAATTTTTGGACGAACGTAAAAATACTAATAAATTATTAGGGGTTTTTCATTGGGAAATACTTGAATATAATAAAGCTAAAAATACTCTAGAATTAACGCTAATAGAATCGTTCGTCATGCCAGTACCATGTTACGAGCAAATTTGTTATGCTTCAAATTATAATAATATATTCAGATGTGGTGGACTGCTAGCATGCTCGAATGTATACGCATTGTGTTGCATATGTCATTCAAATTAATTTGACGAATAACCTTATAAGGTTTTAAAATTACCAATTCCCAAGTATATTAATATCTACTGGTCCTTAGTGTGCCAAGCAATATTAATAGATTTTTTACCTGTAAATTCGTTGACTGAATTATTTAGCTTCACCATGAATGGTTCACCGATGAAACTTATGCATCGCTGTCTGTTTTTATTCACCGTTGAAAGCGATAAATAAGTGAAGGGGATGTAACATAAACTTGCTGAATTTGTGAACGCATTACAGAGGCTACACCGACTCCATGAAAGCCATCGTGGAGGCCATGAGGAAGAACAACATTCGCAAGCTGGTGACGATGACGTCATGGTACACTGACAGTGAGTACCCACATTCTCCTCACTCGTGATGATGACGTCATGGTACACTGACAGTGAGTACCCACATTTTCTTCACTCGTGATGATGACGTCATGGTACACTGACAGTGAGTACCCACATTCGCCTCTACGCTGGTAATAACTACCAGCTTTAATAGGTAGGCTTCACCAACATGTGTCGGAAAGTTTGCAAAGTATACTCCGGTTTCTATCACATCGTCGAGACTTGATATGCGCTTGGAGAAGAAGAAGCGCGCGCTGTGTACAGATGTAAAGTATTGTATGTAAACCGACAATCATTTAGTCAAAACTGCAACTCAAGAAACCTGAACTGGAACTATTGATCCATCGAGACACAGCTTCATGACGAATAAGGCATCCTTTCTTACTACTGACACAGTATGCCATTTATTTGTAAGCCAAACTCGCAATTATTTAACTAAATGAATTTCATAACATTGAAACGTCGGATGAATGATATTTTATTCAAGTAGTGTAAGAAATTGTCTCTTGGGATTTATTTGCTTGCAATATAAATATTCTTTTTTTCACTGTTACCGTAAAAAAATTCGTAGGATTGATCATTATTATATGTAAATTTTTTTAATAGATACAATTTGGTTACCATCAGGGTCACAATTTCAATTGTGTTCAAGTAATAACATTCGATAACAAGTAATTTCAAGTAATAACATTCGTTATTAATAAATCTTTTTCAAAGTTCAACAAAAGTTAAAAACAAAGGGAAATTTATTTACGCATATAAGGTTTTAAGACGGAATATTTTGGCAACAAAAATGTGGCTTAAAGTACCATAAGGAGTATTTAATGAAAATATAAATTTTGTAAATCTTTTTCAAAGTTCAACAAAATTGAAAACAACGGGAACATTTTATACGCATATAAGGTTTTCAGACGGAATATTCTGGCAACAAAAATATGGCCTGTGTGGAGTATTTAATAAAAATATACATTTTCTAAATCTTTTGCAAAGTTCAACAAAAAGTAAAAAACAAAAGGAACTTTTTATACGCATCTTAGGTTTTAAGACAGAAATTTTTCACGTACAGCTACGACAGCTGCAAACGGCGGGTTCTTCGTGAACTGGCTGCTGGTGCCGCTGATCAAGCCTGTGCTGTGCAATATGCGAGCCATGGAGACCTTCCTGAGCGAGCAGTGTCAGGACCTCGACTACACCGTCGTCAGGCCGCCTGGGCTCGGCAAGGGCGATCTATCAGGTGTCTTAAATGACTTAATAATGTGGACAACCAAGTGTCAGAGTGTTGTTCAAATATCAATACTCGTGAAAATGTCGGTATGAAGTATTAATTCTTCGAATAATAGCAGGGATCTTATCTTAGATAATGAGACATACGCACTTTTTTTTAATTCGTTGCTTAGTTGTTGAATTATTTGTTTCATTTAAGATCAGAATTAGTGTAAACCCAAATTTATTCTTCCCAAAAGGGATCAGAAGCAATGCTTTTGGCCGGGTTCACACCACACTGCCGGTCACGTGCCGGGCATATGCCAGTCACGGTACAGTCCAATATTCTTTACTGCATTTATATAGAAGAATTCACATTAACCGTGCGAAGCACATGCCCTGTCCGTGGTGTGAATGCTTATTAGGAAAATGTATTAAAGAATATTGGAGTGGATCGTGACTGGCATATGCCTGGCACGTGCCCGGCAGTGTGGTGTGAACTTTGTTTTATAGTTGTTCATCAATGCGGAACTCCTACAACTTTCATGCACATATAAAGTCTCTATCGCCTCTATAATGTATTTATATTAGCTGTAATTAGTAATCTGCGAGTTAAAAGCTAGAAGTTATCGCTCGAGCCTGATTTATTATACTGATATATGGGAAGTAGGTAGTAATAAGAGTTTGTAGCAACATCCCGCCTGACTTCTTGAATCAAACTTACTAAGAAACAGTTCATTCTTGTGTTAACTTAGTCATAGCCGTTTTGCTCCTCGTTAGTTCATCACCAGCCCTGTACCTGAAAACAATATACTTGCCTCAATTCGTGCTCCATCCTCTCGCTAGCCTCTGAGTTTCAGTATACTTCCAGCATCAATCTTTATCAATCAGCATCAATTATTACAAGTTATCAGCATCAATCTTTACAAGTTATAGGCTGTGGGTGTAACGCTCGAATATGCTATATTATAAATGGTATGTGGGATGTAGAAAGAAACGTGTGAGTGATGAGATAGAAGTTTAACGCTTGAACCTAATATATAATACTTCAAGGTGGGCGGTTGTGGTAATGAAGTAATGTGCGAGTTATTAGCTAAAAGTCTAACGTAACCTGGTGTCGCAGGCAACCCGGTCTCGGTGACAGAGGAAGCGTATTTCGTGAAAGGCAACAAAGGCGCTCACAGGATCCCGCGTGCTGACGTGGCGTCCTTTATGCTGTCGCTGCTCAGCACCAGTCAGTACAACAGGAAGATGATCGCCATGACCACAGCCGTGCTGTAGACCTCAGATTGGTTATTCCAGAGCTGCGACTTTCACAAAAACCAGCAGAAAGCGTCAGATAAATAATCACCATGCTCTATATTGAATGAATATTTGTCATCAAATATTGACACGAAAAAATGTGCTACGATTAGTTTTTTTTAACAACTTGTTACGATGTTTTCACTCGAACTACGTTCCCGAAATATTCACAAAGAAAAATAAAAATACAATAAAACACGGAGCGTTCTTTCTTTAATTATGAACATCTGATGTTAGAAACGTATTTTTACAAATGCCGCGATCTTACACATGTCTACCGGATTTCGAACCAACTAAAGACCAAGTGCATTATTGAGAAATGAGATCAGACAGTTTCACGGAAAATACAGCTCAATTGGCTACAGATTTTATCATAGAAAATGCATAAATACTCGCACTGATTCTATCTTGAGGCATGAAACGCCATGACAGAATTCATGAACCTAGTATCAATTGAGGAGTAAAGGCCACAATTAGTCAAATGGTCAATAGACTGAAAACTGGTTTAAAAGAGGCGAAATAAAGAGGTTTTCCAACATGTGTGGTAATTTCCTGGCTAGCGTGGGCAAATAGACACCTGATTTATAAATAATTTTCTATATTTTATTTCATTACATAGTTCTGTTTGTATCTGAATGATTTTTAGAAATTCTACAACGTTTAGTCAAATAGCGGAGGCTTGCAGTTTTGTTGTAGTACGGATGAAGTGGTGTAACGGAACGCATGTTGATTTTTCATTTGGAGAAATAACTCTCCACTTCATCATTCGAACGTTTTCGAATATCTCTGCTATTTTAAAATTATTTATACGTTGTACAAACGATTCGAGACGTCTACAAATGAATACTGTTGAATGTGTTTAAACATATTGAATGCATGTAAAGTTCTCGAATGAATCTAACAAAATAATTTAAATGTAAAGAAATCGCTCAAGGGCTTAAAAACTGTTCGGTTTACTCATACAAAGAATAACTATAACTCATACTAAGAATTATAATACTCATTCTAAGAATAATGATAAAACATAATATGAATAAACACTTCATCAGCCATTTGTAATTTGGGAATTGCAAAGTAATAAATACTACAATGCTTTCGCTACCGCTGTGGTTTTGCAATGTACTTACAATTCTGACGCGCTCTGATACCACAATTATTTGACTAACGATGATTCATCAAAAAACTCTAAACACATATTTCTTTCGTCACAAAATTTCACGTTGCAAAAAAAGGATTTTAGATGCGCAGATTCAAATTGAGAAGCGAAAGAATTGCGCTTCGTTGATTGTATAATTATTTTAACATCTTAATTGAAAAAATAGCATATGCACTCATGTACCTGATGACTAAACAGTGCGGTGCATGAGGCATGCGGCAAATGCAACACAACAATGTAATTATTAAAAACCAGAACAAATGCGCTTCGCTTGCTTGGAAAGTTAGAAATAAGGCTCCCCTCTGTAAGAATTCACTTTCTAAAGGTATTATAGAGCGCTATAAATTATTTTTATACAAATTTCTAGAGCAATCATTAAGTATTGATTTCTGCTTCCTTATATTCAGAGATAGACGTGAGCTTACTTGCGCTTAGACGTGAGCGTAAGTAAGTAAATTGTAGTAAGCATAGATGTGAGCGTAATCTTGCGCTTACTACAATTTAATATATACACGCGCTCTTCTAATATGGCGTATCCTTCCACGTTTACCTTTCATGGATTACGCAATATATCCGATATCCTCTAATCCTTCCTTGTTGGATGTCTAATTTTTATGCGCTCATTTTATTATTAGAGCAAATAATCAGTGTTTGGTTAAAAAGACAATCATTTGTTGGAAGCCAACGCGACCAGGTCTTATCACCCCGCGACCAGGTCTTATCATCCGTTCAGTGCTCTGTCACTGATATCAGCTGCGTGCATCGCGATATATTGGCAACCTCAGCTTCTGTGCTCCGGTCACCCACTGATGACTAATTGTTACTGACTCTTTACGCAGAATCTTTCTTCAAACAACTGTTGTCGAAGAAAATCACGAATGTACTTTTATGCTTCGTGTACGTGCATTTCTCGTGCTAACGAGGCTTTCTGCATGCCGTTGCTGCTCATCAGCTGTCAAGCAGGACGAGCCGATGCTGACCGCGGCTTCCATCCGCACATTTTTGTAAACCGTAAATTTCAGGTTTAGTATATAATAAATTTAGGAAAAAATACTAATTTTAGTTCATGGCAATATTTTTTCATTATATATAAGTGACCTCGCCGCTTGAGTTTCAGCTACATGCGTCCAACTCACCCAATTCTGAGTATGCGCATGCTCAGAATTAAGAGCCGAGCGCACGCGATATCTCTAATGCCTTTAATTTGTGTTGCCAACGAATCGTATTTCTGATAAGCAACGTAGTTAGCATGATGAACTCCACCGCCCACGCTGAACTACTCACAATGGTGTTGCTGAAAACTGCAGAGGTGAAGAGAGTTAGTACGGTGAGAGCTAAGCAGAACTGTGTACGAGTAGAGTACTTAGTTAGAAGTAAAGAGGAGTACGAGAAGAAAAAATAAATGTGATGAGTGACACAGAGAGGCATGAGAAGAAGTTAATCGTAAGGTAAGGAGAAGCATGATTAGAACAGTACCGTTATAGGTAAGAGTAAAGGGTTGCAACTGCAAGACCGTTGCAGTTGGCTCGTGATTCAAACTCTGTCAACTTGAGCGCTACAAAAGAGCGATTGTATTGCTCGCCCTTCACTAATTCTATTAAGATGTTGACGACAGGATAAACTACAGACATTGTCCCGTACGGGTATACTCGTATGGTCAAGTCAGATGTCAATAAAAGAACGGGGCAACATTTTGCAGCTGAGACGAGAAGTTCTGCTAAAGTAATTTGCGTAGTTTACAAGATGTAGAAACTCAATGACATGTTAATATTTTAGAAAATTTGAAGGTGACTAAAAAGTTTTATTAAGTCAATTCCGGAAGACTGATTTAAATTAAAATATATTAGAACTTCGTACGTGGGAAATCAAACAAAAATCGAAGCGCTAATAATTAATTTTGAGGATAGTCGTGGTAAAGCAAGTATACAAACATGAATATAACGGTCGATCGACCATGAAATGAATGCTATTTATAAAAAAATTATCTACATAAGATGCTAGAAAGGAAGAAGTGAAACTTCGAGACCTCGTTAACATGACCACAAAAGTGGCTTCGCTTTCACATAGCATCAAATGCTTGACATTGAGAATATAAATAAAAAAAAAACACACGCGAGGTTCAAATGAAACATTAGAGTCCCTACATAAACAAACGATTATGATTAAAGCAAGCCATCTAACGTGCTGGGTTTATATTTGCGATGAGGTCACGTTAATGAGTACATTAACGTGCGTTAATGAGGAAATATCTTCTTATTCATAAATCTATTCATGGCGCTTCCAATGAATGTTTTCATGCTTTCAGAATGCTTTAAATGCGGAATTAATTTTCAATTAACTTGCGGAAAAGTTTTATTGCTAAATAAATCATTACAATTAGTAGTTCATACTCATTACTATCAGTAGTTCTGTATTTCATGGTTATGAAAACTCGTCGTGGCAACACTAAAGAAAAACAAAAGTGAGCCAGAATACAAACAACTAATATTTATCTAGTGATTCATGTGGTCCAAAATAATTGCCAATCAATTGAAAATGATAGTTCTGAGAAAAAATTAGAATTTTCGGAAGAAATTCGAAATAGCCAATCAATTATTATTCTTGTTAATGGAGCCCTCAAATTGGAACGATCCCATGGCACCGAAAAGCTACATCCGAATATCGGACAATGATGGATAATAAGGCGTAAATACTTATAAGGTAAAGAAAGAAAGCAATCAAGAAAGATAGGCCTAGTGATGCTGAAATCCTGCATTGCCTGCCGATCGTCCTAAACTTTGCATTTACACCAGAATAATTTTTCTCTGAATAATTTTTTAGTGGAGCATGTGTGCTTATTTTGCTCAAAGGACAAGATACGTTTTTGGGGTATCGAGGATACGTTGAAATTAGTTCATCAATAGCAGATGACATGCGATCCATTTTCTGGAGCAATTCTTGATGACCGGAGCTGGTATCTGGATGAGGTTGCTTGTGGCCTGCAGGTGTAGCCTTGCTAGGTTGAATATTTAAATCTGATTCAGATGCAAGAGCATAAGTGTGAGGTGGTTGATGGTGAGATAAGAGCTTGTCATGAGGCTCTTTGACTTGTGACGTGCAGGATGCTGGAAGTGATTTGGCCTCATTAATAAGAGAGCGAGAAGATTGATGGGCATCAGAAGGAGATGAGGATGTATGATCCGATCCTTTTACCTCCACTTCCGCTGGAAGAGAAGAAAGTTGTTTCTTTTTGTAAATTCCTCCTTTGAATTGTCGTAAGAACATCCTTGAGTACACGCCTCGCTCGCTCTGCAGGCGAGATAAGTCGAGACTTTGTAGAGGATTAAATCCGACTCCTTTGGCGTCCAGTCGACCAGCAGGGCCCTTGATTCCTTCGTTGTCAATGTGATCGTTTGAATCGCTCACGGGCTGCGTATTGCCTTCTGGAAATAAAGGAGTAGGCTTCGTCGGAGCCTCGTTGCAGTCAGCTTTATGAATTGACGAGGAAGTAGACGGGCGATGAGAATTAAATTTCTCGTTCTCATCTTCGTCACGGACGATCATTGTGCCATCGTCATCATCATATTCTTCTTCATCGTCAGAATGATTACTCACTTTATCGAGTTTTTCAAACTCTATTATATCACTGGTACAGTCATCTAGAGCCCCATCATTTTTTTGCTCCTCAATGCGGTCTTGGTCGTTATCATTCTCACGTATTTCAGATGCAATTAACGACTGTACAGGTGCGGGAGTCTCGCTACTCTCGCTCACGATGAGACGAGTCACTTCTGAGTCATCGTCTTGTTCGTAGCTCGTCCTCACGACGTCGCTGTGCACGATTTCGACGATGTTGGCGAAGTGGATTGGAGTTTCCATATCAGGGCTTTTATTCTCTATGGTGGATGCACTTGTTCTCCGTACGTGGAAATGAGGAGGCGATGTTAAGCCTTTATCTGCACAGAACGTTTCCATTGTTTCCTTACTATTGTTATCAGCTTGCCCTTCCACTGGCCCACTGAAGATATCATCGCCGGAATCTTGCTCATGATCGTGCACAGATCTGGATTTTTCATCATCCGCATATATAACTTCATCTTCTATTTTTTCCTGTTCAGTAAATCCCTCAGCATTGATGGCACTAAACTGCATTGTGTTCTCCTGTTGCATCGCTGTTTGTTGTGTGGAGTCGAAATGTTCATTCGTGGTGCAGACGAAGGCGAGGTTGCGTCGGTGCACGACTTCATGTCGAGCTTGACGATCCCCGCTGTCAAGCGTAGACCATTTGTCAGCGACCTCCTGTCCGACCGCTCTGTCTGGCCGCACCCCCGTGGGCGAGATCTGCAGCAGCCCTGGCAAAAATGATAGCTTCATTTGTAAAGCTAGTTCTTCAAAATGGCTATTTATTAATTTGATTAAAAGAAAAGGCTAGTACTTCAAAATAGCTATTTTTAATTTGATTAAAAAAAGGCTAGTACTTCAAAATAGCTATTTATAAATTTGATTAAAAGAAAAGGCTAGTACTTCAAAATAGCTATTTATTAATTTGTTTAACAGAAAAGGTTAGTACTTCAAAATAGCTACTTATAAATTTTATTAGCAGAAAAAGCTACGACTTCAAAATAGCTATTTACAAATTTGATTAACAGAAAAATGTTATCTTATATGGTAGGACGGTAGTAGCTATTTTTTAAATGCATAATTTAGATGGTCCCTATTAAACGGCTTTGATGCTTGGCAGGAGTTATTTGAGAGCTGACGCGACAAATAGCTGTCTGTGGCTAGTTTTATCATATTTTCTATGCTTCATTACCATTTTTTGACCAAAAAAATCCAGAAACTCGCAGTAAATTTACAAAAAAATATCACTATAAATTTTGGAGATTGGGCGCACCACCACAATTTGTAGCATCAAATTCATCCAGCGCCATTTAAGTGATTTAACTGGCATTTAAAACTAAGAACAGCCGGCACAATTTAACCCAGCCATTTCTAGAGCATCTCGAAAACTGACTCGACACTTACGATCATAGTGTGATCATATTTCAGCCTTGATTTATCAGATTAATATTATATTCTACTACAGTAAACTCATAAACGGTTATTTGACCCGTTTGAGTTACTCACTTGAAGTCATTATATCAAAGTTGACGTTCTCATAGTAACAGTGTTAGGGACAGCTTTTAAATATAATAATTTCATCGATAGTTAGGATTGTCATTTTGTTTTTGAGTGAACTATGAAGTCACCTCGTGTAGACCCGCCATGTACCTCGTCATTGTTATGTGATCCACCACAGAGGTTAGTACTTGAATTGTTTATCGTGTGTTGATCTTCGTGTTGATATAGTGGTGGCCTTTTGTTGATATTTAATATTATTATTTATATTAGTTTATCATTGTGTGTTATATTTATTTGTTAGTGTTGCGTTAATTCGAGTCCTTAATTTGTATTTATTTGTGTTTTTCAGCGGGGCTCCGAACCTAGGACATGATTAAGGCAAGGGCTAGAAAGACACGCGGTTTATAGTTTTGTATTTTGTTTTCTTGTATTTATCGTTCATTTTGTTATTATAGTTCTTAACTTAGCAGTGTTTATTCATCCTTTTTATTTGCGATCATTGGCAAAGTGTTCGGGGTCAGATAATGTTTATTTATTGATCAGTCCCCAACAACAGAGCTTGCTGCTTGTGATAAGAAAAGAGTATTTCAAATCACAGTGAATACTATTCATGTTGCCAATAGATAAATGGTATGAAATTACTGATGGGATTTTCTGATAATTAATAAATTACAATTGTGAGACCAGGAGACACAACTACATTTGTTGTGTAAATATTTTCTTTTGAGGATTTCTCATTTCGTTCAGTAAAAGTAGCAAAATTTAAGAGATATTCGATTAAACCTTAAACATATTTTTTGACGCCTTTTGCAGTAAACTGTCTGTGAAAGAATAAATAATTTCACATTTATGAGATCATTCAATGATAGCGCTTCTTAGAAACTTATTTAGAGGATAACAAGTTATCATGCTACAAAGTTGAAACCAAGAAAGCGCTCTAATATGAATTTCAATAGCAACGACGTTTTTTTGTTGTAAACTTCATTTTCTGAGCACTTTCAGAATTTGTGATTTCGAATTTGATTTTACTTCTGGCTTTCATTCTTATGATATTCAGGATGCCATATAAAGTCTTTTTTACATTATGTATCTGTCGATTTGTCCAGGATATGCCAGTCGAAGGATGTTATTTGATTTCGGACATTCAAATGTTACAAACTCTGATGGTGCGGCCAGTCAAAATACTATTTTAGTTTTTTTCACAAGACTGGAACCGCTTTTTTCTGTAGCAATAGAACCTGGGTGGCACCTTCTTATTGAATATATGTTCATGTATGAAAAATATATATGTGATATATATCACATATATATCACATATATCACATATATCGCATCCGCAAAATGTATAATTTGCGGAACTGCAAAATGTATATTTTGCGGAAATATATGTTCCGCAAAATAAAAATCAATAAAATCTATTCATTTACCCAAATACTTTACCGAAAAACCTAATTCAACTATATAAGCTGACAAAATCCAAGCTAGTTTTCGACAGACGCAATTATATTTGAGATAAAATTTATTTATTTTATTTGGATATTGACTGAAGCCATGATCAATACATTTTCAATAAAGAATAACCATATTATATTAAAATGTTTTAGGATATTATTTATTAAATATCATACAATTCTTTAAATACCTGTAGTGCTGGAAACCTGAGAAGTGGGCACCTCGCACAGAGCCGTGCTCACGGCAGCACCCTGGTTCTTGTTTGATTGGTCAATGCCTTGGCGATCAGCTGTATTATCTTCAAAGTAACTATTTTCGTTCATAGATACTTTCAGAATATCATCATCATTTTGTAATGAAATCTCATAATAATCAGAATACTCTTGATGTGATGTTGTATTGATTACTCCGTCGTCTTGCATATGATTATACAACTGATTGTGATCGCTGTATGGCGACGCGGCATACGCCAAGCCTTTATTTCGCACGCCATCTTCACTCACAAAATAAACGTCGTGCTGCGACCCCGTAAATTTATTATCCTCATCGCCTAGGTCATGCTGAGGACTGAGGTCAAACTTGACCTTCTTGCGGTACGTCACAACTGAAGAGGGGTCGTCGTTCTGCGCAACGCTATTTTTCTCGCGCAGATATTGAGCAAATTTGCGAACGGGAGGAGTAGCAGTAGGCGAGCTGTGCCTGGTCTTAAGAATGCTCTTAGGAACGCTTACTGTTGTTTGCCGTGCATATGCCGGAGCCTCGTCCGAGGGGATTGTTTGCACTGAGTCCTTAAGAGAGCACATAAACTTGGTGTCATTTTCGTCGGGGTTTTTCTCTGAGCAGCTGTTTTCATCATCCTTGCGAGAATTTTGTTTATGGGACCATTGGATCTCGTCTAAATCTTCGTTGTCGATCTTCAGTGAAGGATGTGCAACTGAACTTGAAGATTTAGGCGTCTCAGTTTCCAGAAGGCCCACTGTCTTTTGCTTATCTTTGTTTTCATCAACACTGATAAAAGTATCAATTTGCGATTCAGCTTCTTGCCCTGAGGAATTCAACGCCTCAGACTTGTCAGGACTTGTCAGAAAAGCTTTCATTTCACGTTTCACCGTAAACCTTTCACTGTTAATATCTTGGACAGTATTTGTGCAGTTTATCAACAAAGAGTTGATGCGGTTCAGGTCTGAAATCAAACTTGAACCGGCAAGCATCCTGACAAATTTTCCGCAAAATCCTCTGTACAATTTGGTCTACTTAATAGTTCTGTAAATTTGAGGCAAGTAATTGAGAACATCTATAGTGAAAATTGATCGAACATTTCCGTAGATTCAATTGTATAAACTGCTGTCTAAACTCTGCTTACTATGGTCCAGCTAGTTTAAAATTTGATGAGAATATCAATTAAAAATATCTACGCTTATTTCCCGTCTTTTTTAAAACAAAAAGGTTAAAATTTATTTCTCAGCAAATATTCTCTAGCAGCGTCGGATCACTGTTGGATCACCCTCAAGAACACTGCCTTAGATTATCTCAAAAGAACACATATGCATTACACTGTCATTATTGAGACGTTGTAGAATTTTATAAAGTATTTAAAATTTTAAACGTCTTTTAATTATAAAAATGCATTCACATCAGTCCAAGCAAATTTAGACCTACAACTGACAGCTGTCTGCGAATATGCGATAGATGATTTCTCAGCAATAGTAGGAATTATCCTATATACCACTACTTCCATAACACCTCTGCCACCTGCTGGGTTGCGACAGCGTTGCTTCGTTTGATAAGTTAGTGGTTATAAGCCAGACTACCTACGATCTTATAGTAGGCGGGTGCACTACAATAACATTCTACACTGTGCACTGAACACGCTATACTGCGTACTGGACACGCTATACTGTGCACTGGACACTCTATACTGTGTACTGGACACGCTATACTGTGCACTGGACACGCTATATTGTGCACTGGACACGCTATACTGCGTACTGGAAACGCGATATTGTGCACTGGACACGCTATACTGTGTAATTTGATAGTGCAGTTCACAGTGACATGGTACACTATACAGTGGGCACTAGCCATGGTGCGGTGCACAGGCGCTGTAGGAGCGGTGACAGTATCGCGAGTTACAGGAAACCGTGTCCGACGGATGGACGGACACATGTGTGCGCTCTTACCTAGAGCACAATATTTAGGTACATGTAGAACAATATTTAGGTATAGAGCAATATTTAGGTATAGAACAATATTTAGGTATAGAGCAATATTTAGATACAGAACAATATTTAGGCATAAAGCAATATTTAGGTATAGAGCAATATTTGGGCATAGAACAATATTTAGGCATGGAGCAATATATAAGTATAGAACAATATTTAGGTAAAGAACAATATTTAGGTATAGAACAATATTTAGCTACAGAACAACACTTAGGCACGGTTATTACAGAACGGTCAAAACGAATGGAAATTCTGCGAATTCGGTTGTGTTCGAATACGATCAACTGTATGCGTTCGAAATAATTGAATCATAATTTTCTTTAATTTGAGAGACGTGATAAAATATCGAGTTTGGAAGAATGAAATTTTGGAAATGACCTCAAAAATGTTTGTGTCATGATTTCGTGCTCTGTAACCATGGAACAACTTTGAGCAACGCAAGCGCTGTATTATCGAATATTCTACTCAGATTAAAAACAAAGAATGCAGGAAGCCCATTCGGTATCATCCAATCAGAAGATTAAAACGCTTAATATATACCGTCCAAATATTGATACATATTCTGCACTTAACATATTGACTCCGAAGTGGTACATATGCGTACCACGAAGTATATTTCTCCAGGACGTAGTGGTACATAATTCAGGGTTTCCAGATGGCCTAAAAAACGACCGAACAAAAGTCCACGAACAAAAAAGGGGCCAAAAAATGCTTATAACTCAAGATATACTAGTATATTTGTAGGTTCCGATGCAAAAAATTTTTTTTTACAGATTTTAAAATTTAATTAGGAAGTACCCCTATCATAAATTTTAACCGGCCAACGCAATTGAAAAAAGTAAATCGCGGGATTGATCCGGAAAAAAGACCGTCTGGCAACTTTGTTGCAAAATAGTACAAAAAATTGAATAATAGTACAAAATTAAGCAATCGGAGAAAACACACAGAAGATCATACTGTTTTTTCAGGCCAAACTGGGTCAGGATGATATACACAAAGTGAAAAGTGCTTCACTACTTGGACACTGTCTCATTATTTTCTCTTGTCACAACTCCACTCAACTGAAAGGAGTCTAGAGAAAGAATAAAGATTGTCTCCTACCTGCTTATATTCAACGTCAATTTATATTCTCACATTTGTTCAAGAGGAAATGCGAACACGGATAGCAGATGATTTTTCGTGTACAGAGTACAACGGAGTGAGTCCATGAGTTTACACAAGAGGAATGTGGTTCATCAGAATGGATGTAACGTCTACAGTTCAAGACGACCTCACTTGTATCGTGGTGGACTACACAGCACAGCACGCAATTCGAGTTAAAATACAACTACATGGCAACTCTACACACAAGGATATATATATGTTTAGCATGACTAATTTTGATGTGGGGAAAATAGAAATTTGTAAATATATCTCCCACAAAATAATAGGTCCTCTCAACTCGTCATATAAAGTGACGAAAACAAACGTCTGTCCCCTGAATCGAAACATAATCTTAACACAGGAAGCATACAACTACGTTTAACTCAAATTCCCAAATTAACTTTTTCATTTCGAATCTGCATAGCTCATGCCATTTTCCTAGCTATAATTGAGTTTAGAGAGTTTATATGAGCAGATATACACAACACTAGACATAGAGCACACCACACAGAGCACACCACACAGAGCTCATGTATGGACACAAAAGCAGAGTTTGCCGGCAGCGCCACGAGAGCGCCGACGTTATCGCCACAGCGCGGTACGCGTGACCCGCTACAAGCACAGAAGGCACATAACATCACCTTTACCACAAAACCGCTTCTTATTATACACATTTTACGTCATATAGTTGTGGAGTATCGAATTATTTCACGGCTTTCTGTAGACTGCATAGTCAGGATAGATGAATTTCATTACCTATCACTTGATATTTGAAAGGAGTTGCGTTCAAAACCTCATCAAATTACGAACAGTTAGTTCATGGCTTTTGTTCTACAACCATTCTCAGAAAACTATAAGGCAACTTTTCAATTTCTAGTCAAAAGTCACGTTGCATGTTCTTTTTTCGTGAAAATGTTTATTCTTTTTTGAAAGCAGAAAGCTAAATTTTCTATTTAAGTATATTGAGGCAGATGAAATTCGTGCACAGTTTAATCGATCAGAAATTTAATTTTTCTGATTGGCGTCGCATTTAAGATTAAGTATCACATTGTGGTGAACGTTTTAATTGACGGGCTAAAGTCAACCACACTTCAGTAGTGTTGTTTAAGTAAATTTATTGACGAAAAATTATGTACATGATGGTTATAGTGTCGTTATCATTAACAATAATTCGAAAAATTAGTCACAATGAGATGATTTCATAGCACACATTGCATGATATGATCTCACGCATCTTGACTTTCGTGGGAGTTTCAAATAATAGAGTGTAATTAGTGAGTGAATGTTCCAATTCTGGTAGAAATAAAGCGTTATCTCAAATTACAGCAGAAGTGCTCATTACTGGTTATAAATTTGCATATAATTTGTATAATCAGGCAGCATAATTACGCTAATTATAAACGGGTCGCTTTGATGATGTGAAAGCGAGGAAACGATAAACACTGTTTCCACGAATGTGTATACTAGAAAAAGAAACAAAAGAAATGAAATATGCCAAAAAGTTGGGATAGTTTCATGGAAATGAACTTTTGATAGCAATTATATAGCAATGACGTGTTTGAGCGATGTTTATCATAGCAATAAATGTTTCAAATATAAACATGGCGTTGACCATTAATATCAAATGCAATGAATGACAACTATATACAATGGGGGGAAATAAATATTCGTACACTTGAAAAATCGTATTTTAATGTATGTAAGTACACAAACTTAACAGGAAAAGTGATTTAAATTATGTATAGAGACGCATAGTATTCAAAAATACCATCAAAAGAAATTAAATCTCAATGCAACAAATAACAATGCAACATGTTCACTTAAATCACTTTTCCTGTTAAGTTTGTGTACTTACATACATTAAAATACGATTTTTCAAGTGTACGAATATTTATTTCCCCCCACTGTATCTAAAAGTACCAAAGACTGAATTTACTTCTGTTCCCCGAATCCTTATCCGTACTTCCCCGAACAATTACGAGGACGGACGTGACCACGATCTGGAGTCACATCTCCAATCGAGGCTCGTTTACTTTATTTTTAGCTAACGCTGTAGTTAACCGGCATTGCAGAGAGGTTTTTGTTACAGAATATAAATATGTGTGTATCCGCTAATTAAATCGAATCCATATTTTAAAAACCGCTGTAACGGCTGTGAAACTGACATTCAATTTTTTAATGTAATTTCGTTGTACTCGTAGAAAACAGCCACTTATTGGCAAAAGATTTGGATTCAAGGAGCAAGGTCTAGGTAGCAGCTTTGAAGTAGCCAATTAAAGTCAAGATTTTCTAATTGAGAACAGACAGCTCCGCAAGAGACGGTCATGCGTGAGCCTCAAATGAAGATCCTTCTACAGAATAACTAAATTCCTATTTACAATGTCATCTCTTGCCTTAAAGATTATGATGACATTTCATTTGTTATCGGAAACATCTAGCGACAGATAATGAATTTTTAAGCTATTTTCTATTATTTTTTATTGCTATTTATGAGTAATTCACGCATGATATTTGAAAAAATTTCCTTGTATTAAAATAACTTAATAAAATTATTTATTGAACAATAATTTTCATCAAGCAAAAACCACAAACTTTTAAGGATGAAATTGTCAATCCATAATTATTGATTTTTCGATAGGAATGACAAACTACGTAACGCGTTAAACACAAAAACATGATTATAATGTTGATCCATGCTAAACATTAATACAAACTGATGTACCGCGGTAAACATAAAAACATTATTATAATGTTGATCTTTGGTAAACATACAAACAAACTGAAGTACAGCGATAAAAATAAGAACATGATTACAATGTTGATAATGTCGGAGAGTCTTACTTGGA